GGGAAGATTAGACTGACCATAAGCAATTCTGACTATTCATAGTTCAGTAATACGGCAATATAAAATATGTAATCAGTTTTATATACCCTTTTTTAGGTCCTGAAATATGAATATATAGTTGATGATGGTCTTGGCGGAAAGAAGTATTGTCTGAAAAGTTTTATCATTAATATGAATCTTTACTGGAAATGGGGAATGAAAAATTCTTTACACAAAAAACGGTTCATGTCGCTATGTCTCAAAAATGTTTTTGATGAAATCATACTATACACACAACTAAAACATTGATTTCTTGGATCAAACCTGTGATGTCATCTAGTTTCAATGTGTCACAGCTATGTAGTGTTCAACGGAATCAGGTGTGGACGGGGATAGCCTAGGGGTTTAGACCCAGGTTAGAATACCCACATGCGTACAATGTGTGAAGCACATTTCTGGTGTCCCCTGCCGTGATATTGCTGGAATATTGCTAAAAGCAACGTAAAACTAAACTCACTCACTCACTCATCGGAATCAAACGTATAACAGAAACCATGTTCATCACAATCACGAACATAATTTAGGCTGCATCCATGTATTTTTCTTTGCTTGCAGGTTATTTTCACAAAACAAACATATTTATTGACATACATCAATATTGTCAAAGGCACACGGACACCGTTGATCTGATTCCTGACATTCTCACTCTGCTGTTAATTACACACGTTTTGTTTGAGCCACAGCTGACGAGAGGTGTTCTTGTGATGGATCACGTCTCACTGCACAGTGGCATGAGACATGTAATTGATCAAGTTACACCGTATGTGCGTGGACTATTGGACATTCAACACTGTATGCAATAAAACCCTCGAACCCTTGAAATAAGTGTGTACTAGACAAACCCAGCTGATACAACATACTCTTGACATGACTGACATTAATCGCACAACAATCAAACTACCAATGGTCACTCAGTCCTGCCTACTTTCATCATAAGCAGTAAACAAAGCTGGGTCTCCCCACAGAAACACTTGTGTCTCGGCTATCATGCATTCCTAAATTATGAGTAGGCAGGCAGGCCATTTTCAGCATCTACTTTCAAATATTTCAAAAACTTCCATCGATGGTTAGTTACAGATGTAATCCCAAAACAGGACCTTAATTTAAAATGATGGATGGGTTAGGTTACCGGAAACAAGTAATTTTTTTTTGGTCCTTCCGATTGAAGCTGTTTGCCTGTAATGCCACGTATCTTCAGAGAGAACAAATGAATGATGAGATTTGATATTGTTATACAATGAATGGGGAGTACTGTGTGAGTTAGAAACTGAAGACACAAGGAAACTCTTGAAAACACTTGTAAATACTAGGAAACTCTTGGAAAAACTTGGAAACACTTGGAAATAACAGAAACCTCTAGGAAACACCATGGACTAACCTACCACTATGTCTGTAAACATCACACAACAAGGTATGTACCTGTTACTATGTCATTCTCAAAGACATGTATCCATGTCCAGCTAAATACTATACTCCCAATCATGAGTGTAAGGATCTGGTTGATTTATTATTTCAAGTGATCTCATTTGGGCGCAGAGCATTTAAAACTAAAGGGCAGATAATTACAGGTGATTAAAGGGCAGATAATTACAGGTGCTTTGTCACATGTTTCGAAGGTCTCATGGCGACATGCATGGTCGTCAGGCAAGTTAGTATGTTCGTCTTCATGAGAGAGCATATAAAACGGTAAGACAACATCATGAATTGATATGTTTGCAATGATTTGGTAATCATATAAGTTATTGTAAGTAAATAAATGAAAACTATGCAGTCCGTAATACGTTATGACTAAGTTATGTACTGTTGTAACCATTTGACATTATTGCTGTATGGGAATCTAAGTTAGTTTTGTTTATTGTTACAGTCAATCACATCTTAAGTCAACTCAATACAACCAATCTTCTAAGAATAAAGATATGACGTCGCTCTCTCACAATCATCGTTCGTTCATTCGTTCGTTCATTCGTTATAATAATGAGTAAGGCTCTATACTCTGTCACTGTTGACCAACATGCATTAACCCTGCAATAAAACTGACCACTCATCACACACCCCAGAATCCTTCTGACCAACATTGTATTATTGTTAAAGTGAGTGAGTCTGGTTTTCACATCACTCCACAATATCAAGAAGAGCATCCCCTTGGGGTTACAGGTTAGAATTGGTCCCCCACAAGCAACCTAGGCTGGCTGTAAGGAGAGTACATGGACAGAGTCGTAAGACTCTGTGACTTTGTTTATAGCAGGCCGTTATGATTTACTCATGTATTCGCTGAATCAAAACGTATCTCTTTATGAATTCAATTCGTTTTTCACTACCACTAGAATCAAATATTCATGAATTTTTAAAAAAAGATGTCTTTTTACTTGAATATGTTTTTTAAGAAAGGGGGCGGTGGGGTAGCCTAGTGGTCAAAGTGTCCGCTTGTCAGACCCAGGTTCGATTCAAAACATGGGTACAAAGTATTAAGCCCATTTCTGGTGTCCCCTGCTGTGACATTGCTGGAACATTGCTAAAAGTGGCGCAAAACCATACTACTCACTCACTGACTCCCACTATTTCTGGAAGTGAGATATGGCATATATTGCAGCCAGGCAGGATAATAGTCAACACTCCTTAATATTTCAATGTGGTCACTGGTTATGGTTGTGACAAATGAACAGTGTCTACATAGTCATGTCAAACATGTCAAATAATGAATTTTTTAATCATTTGACTGAATATAAATAATAAAACATGAACTAGTGACTTGTTATGGTATTGATATTTATTTATTTATTTGCCTCATTGTGAAATTGGTTGCAGCCCTAGCATACCCCTGTACCTAGACTGCATGGTTTGTAGCTCCCAATATCAATCATTGGGTTGTCTGGTCCAGACTGATAAAATTGTTAGACACAGCCACTATTGAGCATCAGTCTGGGACTAGTGAAAATCCAGAGGAACCAGCTGTTTTCTTACTAAATTAGGGGCGGTGGGGAAGTCTCGTGGTTAATGCATTGGCTGGTCACACCGAAGACCCGGGTTCAATTCCCTACATGGGTACAATATGTGAAGCCCATTTCTGGTGTCCCCCACCGTGATATTGCTGGAATATAGCTAAAAGAAGCGTAAAACCATAATCACTCACTCACTCTTACTAAATCAACAGATTTTACATTAACCAATAGTTAATGAACTACAAACTAGCCAGATTTGACCAATGGTGTCTACCCTAGTAAATGGTCCACTTTAAGCAAATAAATTTCATAACAAACTAAAAGATATAAGGATCTGTTGTATATTAAAGTCGAAATGCATATTATGAAAGATGGGTATAAGATGCTACTAATAGTGGTCCACTCGAGTTTCGTTATAACCGAGGGTGGTGGGGTAGCCTAGTGGTTCAAGTGTTCGCTCTTAATGCCGAAGATCTGGGTTCAATTCCCCACATGGGTACAATGTGTGAAGCCTATCTCTGGTGTCCCCTTCCATGATATTGCTGGAATATTGCTAAAAGCGACGTAAAACTTAACTCACTCACTCATTTGTTATAACCATAGTTTACTGTTTTACTATATTGATGAGAAAAAATTTACAACATTATCAGAATATTTCAGAAATATTATAGCATGGGACAGTACACACCAATACACTTCTCATAATATTCACATATATTCCAAACTTAAGCATGAAAGCCATGAGGTCCTTGTCAAAACCCATAGACTAACATTTAGTCACTGAATATATCTAATTTTGAGAGTAACAAATATACCTGAAATTGAAAAGGAGCCCCAGTGAGATGGAAGATCCAGAACCTGAGGAAATCTAGACTTTGTTCATTAAGTGCTTTAGCATTGCAGGGTGGGCTAGGCGGAAGGGAAAATAGTGTGGTTCAGAGACTGTGAGACGGACTAATGGCCTGTATATAGTGAGTGAGTGAGTTTAGTTTTACGCCACACTCAGAAATATTCCAGCTATACAGCGGCAGTAAATAATCGAGTCTGGACCAGACAATCCAGTGATCAACAGCATGAGCATCAATCTGCGTAATTGGGAACCGATGACATGTGTCAATCAAGTCAGCGAACCTGACCACCCGATCCCGTTAGTCACCTCTTACCACAAGCATGGGTTACTGAAGATCAATATTCTAACCCGGATCTTCAAGGGTAGGCCTGTATATACCAGTACTACACCAGCAATCCTCATGGATCCCAAGACAACCTATACTATAAACATTGTTTGTGTCAACTGGCTTTACCGTATCCCAATTATTGTTTTAATAACTGCTTTATCTGTCCTCATTGATTGATTGTATATACATGTACATCTCTGGCTTCCTGTAAATCTGGTATATATAACATGTTTTCTACAGACAGACAGACAGTATTTATTCAGTAAAAAGGCCCTCGTCCATAATACAATCAAGACTGACATTGTGTTTAGTGGGTGTTTTCTACACCTGTCTTTAATCACCTGAAGAGGGGGCAAGAAGTGGCCCAGAAACTTTGTGTTATACAATAAAGAAGAAGTTGCCATCCATATTCTTATCCTATATAAACACTCAGTCATTGCAAATATTATTAATATGATATCCCTTTCAACTTCAACTGAAAATATTAACACAATAATCATTGTCAATTCAATCTGAACAACAACGATGACGATAACATCAACAATTGATCATCACAATCAACAGACAAGAAATGATCATAATAGACCATACGAACTAACACAACCTATCACCAGCCTTAAGTATGTTCCCTATTTACATGTTTTGTGAGTGTAATGGGACACCCAGCCATTTAGACCTATTGTGAATGCCCTATCACGGATATTCCACGTCCATGCAGTCTGGCAAAACAGTGAGGAGGGACATTAAACCCCCACTGACACACAATCCCCCAGTTCTATTCACCAGTATACGACCTCAGTTGATGCTCAACTGGCTAGGAAACAAACACTCCTTCCACAATGCCAGTACTGAGTTGTGGTAATCGTTGATTATTTATGAACTGTGACCACGAGATACCAATACCTGATCATGGTGAGGAAATCATGCGACAAGTTTAAACAGGAGAAATATAAACTTCTTGTAACTAGTAACATGTCGGCTAGTGTCGAGGAGATTAAAACGTGTATGACACTCATGAATCTGCACCCCCTCTGACAAATCTTTTTCTAACAACTCAAGTATGTACAGTTAAGAGAGGATTATGTGACAAATTCTGTCAAACTTGACAATCAAAGTATAGGAAATCATTAATCCCAGCTTATTAACAAACGCATTTGGATAAGGCGACTCCTACCTACAAAGCACTGTAAAACAGTTTTGTTGTGTTTGATGACTGTTAAATGTTTGAGTGTGACAGCAAAACTGGAAAACATGAACTGTCTGGCGATCTCTTTCACTTGTTACCCAACTCTGCATACCTGTCGCACGACAGAAGTTTATACCTGGTTGAAGCTGGGATAGAAAACTCAACATTTCATATGGAATCTGAGATTCATCTGATACCATCGGCAAACTTACGGGAGATCTTCAGTGTGGATTGGGACTAAGTGTATGCGTATTTATTCAATAAGGATCTTGATATGTGATACACAGATATTGACTGGACATGAAGGAGATGAGATTGGCAGTTATGCTTGGCTGATAGTCGCACCTACTGTTCAGTTTAGACAGTAATGGCTGAGGTGTACAAGGCTAAAGACATTTGACACTGGTGCAGCTATCAAAGATGAACTTTTCAAGAAAACAAAGTGTTGAATGCTAATTATCAAGATTGTCGACTTCTCGGGTGCTTGTGGGTTCCTGTGACAAATGACCATCAGTGAAGATCAAATACATGGGTGGTTGATTTGAAACCCTTTTTGGAAATTTATCCCACGTTTACTGGTGAAGTTGATAGAACTATCAACATGATCACGCAACAAATTGGTATGTATGGTAGATAACTGGCATCTAAATATAGGAAACAGCTAGCTTTCTTGTTAGTCCGTGAAAGTGTGGAAAGTTTTACATGGTGCCAATACGTCATCAGGGCAGTATATCTTGTATTATTATGTACAACATCCTAAACACTGGTAGCGTACATGATGGACGCCATGTAACTGGGGTAATGTTTATGTTAATATTTATGTTTCAAGCAACATTGATTTGAGAGAACTAATGATTTACCCAATCTCATGTTTATGTTAATATTAATGTTTTATGCTGCATCGATTTGAAAGAACTAATGATTTACCCAATCTCATGTTTATGTTAATATTAATGTTTAATGCTGCATCGATTTGAAAGAACTAATGATTTACCCAATCTCATGTTTATGTTAATATTAATGTTTAATGCTGCATCGATTTGAAAGAACTAATGATTTACCCAATCTCATGTTTATGTTAATATTAATGTTTTATGCTGCATCGATTTGAAAGAACTAATGATTTACCCAATCTCATGTTTATGTTAATATTAATGTTTTATGCGATTTGAAAGAACATTTACCCAATCTCATTTGTTAATATTAATGAATCGATTTGAAATGATTTACCCAATCTCATGTTTATGTTAATATTAATGTTTAATTGCATCGATTTGAACTAATGATTTACCCAATCATGTTTTGTTAATATTAATGTTTTATGCTGCAACTAATGATTTACCCAATCTCATGTTTATGTTAATATTAATGTTTTATGCTGCATCGATTTGAAAGAACTAATGATTTACCCAATCTCATGTTTATGTTAATATTAATGTTTTATGCTGCATCGATTTGAAAGAACTAATGATTTACCCAATCTCATGTTTTATGCGCATGATTTGAAAGAACTAATATTTTCATGCTTATGTTAATATTAATGTTTAATGCTGCATCGATTTGAAAGAACTAATGATTTACCCAATCTCATGTTTATGTTAATATTAATGTTTTATGCTGCATCGATTTGAAAGAACTAATGATTTACCCAATCTCATGTTTATGTTAATATTAATGTTTTATGCTGCATCGATTTGAAAGAACTAATGATTTACCCAATCTCATGCTTATGTTAATATTAATGTTTTATGCTGCATCGATTTGAAAGAACTAATGATTTACCCAATCTCATGTTTATGTTAATATTAATGTTTAATGCTGCATCGATTTGAAAGAACTAATGATTTACCCAATCTCATGTTTATGTTAATATTAATGTTTTATGCTGCATCGATTTGAAAGAACTAATTATTTACCCAATCTCATGCTTATGTTAATATTAATGTTTTATGCTGCATCGATTTGAAAGAACTAATGATTTACCCAATCTCATGCTTATGTTAATATTAATGTTTTATGCTGCATCTATTTGAAAGAACTAATGATTTACCCAATCTCATGCTTATGTTAATATTAATGTTTTATGCTGCATCGATTTGAAAGAACTAATGATTTACCCAATCTCATGTTTATGTTAATATTAATGTTTAATGCTGCATCAATTTGAAACAACTAATGATTTACCCAATCTCACCAACCATTTTGTTTGTTTATCTATGAAACCGGCAATATTGATGGTGGTCTGTAAATAACTGACTGTGGAACAGACATTCCAAGGACTGGACTGGACAGTGGTCAAGCTCACAGACTTGGTTGACACATGTCATCATATCCCAATTGTGTAGATCAATGGTCATGCTGTTGATCATGATTGTCTGGTCCAGACTCAGTTATATACAGACCGACGCCATATAGCTGGTATATTGCTGAGTGCGGCGTAAAACTAAACTCCCTCACTCACTCCAAGGACTGACATCATGAGCATCGATCCATGCAAATGGGATATGATGACTTGTAGGTCTCCTAGCAGGACAACAAGATCCATTTAGCCACCTCTTACAACAAGCACAGGTTGCTGGGCGTCTTCTTTTATCCAGAATTCCCATGTGTAGAACTGAAGCATTACTGTTAATATGTATTGTTGAATATATTGGATTTGCTGATATAAGGAACTATGCACCAATGATGTGTTAATCCCGCGATTTCCTTATCAGAGTTTTTGATTGGTTAGTATTGCCACATAACTGTATACACACCTACAGGATTTACTTGTACAATAATTCAGTTATCAACATAGGAATTGATGGCAACTCATTTGACACTATTAGTTATGATTAATGAGACCTTTTAGGACCCAAGAATGAACTACTGTCAGCTAATATAAATGAAGCAGTGTTCTTGGAAGGATTAGTGCATATACAGTATGTACAATAATCTAGATGTATAAGACTAAGATTAGTCTATTTCACAGAATCTGTCACCTTAAAAGTGTCAGAAGTTTAGAAAAGTGTTAGAAAGATTTACTGGGCTCTATGAGGGTTCAAATATTCTGCATCATATTTAACCAATATTACCCCACTAAATCTTTCATGCATGGATCCAGAATGGGGTACAGAGATGTGCCAGTAATTGGGTATTTGAAAGTTAAACACATACCATCACTATAATAACTTATTTGATGGGGTGTGAAAACAAATTGCATTATTACTGAACAAGAACATGAAAATGAACCCACCCATGCTTGATCTTCCATGTATAACATCAGGTTCATAGGAAGGAACTTTGAACTTCTATTCTTACTTTAAAATATCTGTCTACAGAATGATTTTCACAGAGCTAATCCAATACAGAATAATTAAATATTCATCACAAACTCTTAAATCTTTTAGGATTAAAAATTCAGGGTAGAAATGAAAATGAAACTTATAATGGCTCATAAAAACTGAGAACCCAGTGTTACATGGCTTCATAAAGTGCACTACCTTCAAATGAAATCTACACTTGTGTGTTAATTCGACAACAAAAAGTGATCCAAATAAAAATATTTCCATTTCCATGACAATTCCTTCTCTTGTAGGCTTAAAAATCATGGTAGAATGACACTTAAAATCATAATGGCACATAAAAGCTGTGAAGCCAGTGTTACATGACCTCATAAAGTGAACTGCCTTCAAAAGAAGCAGACGTACACAAGAAATGCTGATCCAGTATAGAATAATTCAGATTTCAAGAAACTTTCTTTTCTGGTATGCTTCAAGTTTGTGGTTTAATGATACTTTAAAGTTTAATGGCTAATAAAAGCTGTGAACTGAATGTTACATGACCTCATAAAGTGTACTTCCATCAAATAAAGCAGACGTGCACAAGGCAAGTTATGAAACATCACTTCTGCACCAAACAACTCATGGTTAATATGAAAAGGTCATCTTTGTACTGAAGCCTAACATCCATGCAAGGAGTAAAGGAATAACAAAGCCAGGAGGCAATGTACAGCAAGCAAGACCCGCACAGCTTTCAGGCGACACACAAAGACCACCGATGACGGACTACCAGGCGCGTAGCTCCCAGCCAGCGAGGTGTGGTGGGACTACACAATAGTCTACAACAATGCCACCCCTGCTTTCCAGCCTCCTCCAGGCTATCCTTCCCGCCTGTCCAGACAAGCAAAGAGGGTCACTCTTGCCCCACTGACCAGTGTTTGTTGTAACAATTCACTTGGTTGACACTGGCCGTATTATTCAGAAGCAGGATCATTACTCCGCTGGTGTGAGGTGAGGCTGGAGCATGGTCCAGTCCACAATCAATGTGAGATTTGAGAGGATCTCTATTCTTGTATACTGTATTGACTGTCATTATCCTCTGTGACAGATGGAGGGCTGGATGGGGTTTAAAGTGTTTGCTAAACCATTTAAACCTGAGTGCTGAGAAAGTGTCCGCCATCAAAATAGCTCACTGTCAACACCACTGAGTCAATGACTTAGTTAGCCATGAGAACAATATTTACATTATGTCAGCAACGGGATTTTTCTATGTACCTGGAACATAATTCTGAGTTAAATATTTAAAGTTTTATATGGTAATTCAGCTGTTTTATTCCTTCAAAGAATATGGGTGTGCTATTCAAAGAAATTTGTATCTACATTCATTCAATAATTTAGAAACACAAAGAGAAACCAAATGTTGAATTAATTACTGCACCATGATTGCAGAATACAAGCATTTTATGCAAACTGAATTAATCTAGATTACTTTAAATGTCATTACTCAGTATGTAGATTATATAAAAGCAAATCTGGGCAGCTCTATTCCACAAAATAGGCATCAAGAGTAATAAATACAAAACATTATCAATGACTTTAGATGGCCAATATCTAAATAATTAAAATATTTTGCATCCATCTCTATAGTCAATCTTTAACCAGAGAGGTCAGGTATATGCCTGTTGTATATGAGACAAAGCACACAGGCTCCTCCTCGTGTGGTATAACACTCAATACTACCAGAGAGGATCTCTGTGACTCCAGAGTGACACAGCCTTATTTACCCTGTCCCCAACAGAGTGGTTTATAGGTTGTCTAACGGATCAGTCTTTACTGGCACTTCTACTGAAAGGAAATGATTATCACAAGACAGTGACGATGATGGAAAACACGCCAAGCAGATTACTGGATAGTTAAGATTGTAATGTCTCTTAGTGCACTGACAGTTGGGACAGTTGCAATGTTGCTGCAGGACTAGTCTCCATTGGTCATATCTACCTAGTTGAAACTTCATTCAGATTAGTGGTTGATAAATAACAGTAGATTTTCACCTGTCTTGGGCTATCGTCTTGGACTAACAGATTAGTAGCTGTTTCTAGTTTGTGCCAATTGTTTTTAGTCTAATGGAACAATAATAGCTCTTGGCAATGTTTTCAGTAGATTTCAGGGTTATTATACAGGGTATTATTAGCTGAGCTTATTACACGGAACAGAATTTTACAAGATATGGGTTTGAGAGTAGTGGCTGGAGCTTGTGATACTGGGCTGACTTCTATCACATACACTCACTCCTTCAACACTATTCTGTAATGAATCTGTATTTGATCATGCTTAATTTGATAATAATAGTTCAACCAGTGTTCAGAAATGATGTCCTTCTGTCACTGAGGTCTTTCCTAGGATATTTGACTCTTGCGGCCCTTCAAATCAGTACGTTTCAACATAAGGATTATGACAATTACTGCAAGGCTACGAAGCTTCATTTCCTGCATAACATCTTTTCAAAATAATGTCTTGATCTATCATTAAAGTGATACAAATATGATTGTCCATATGCTGGAAAATGATATTTTCTATTTTTACTTGATTGTGTATGTACCCTCGGGCTCCATGACAACTCTCGGGATGACAAGTTCATACACAGAAGTTCATATCATGACAAGTTTCACACACAGCAATATTACAGCAATATGATAGAGGTCTGAAAATAATTCTGTCTGGACCAGACAATCCAGTGATTGAAACCACGAGCATCCATCCATGTAACATAGTGTGTTCTAGAGAATATAGTAGTGTGTACCATTCACGTCAGTCACCCTGAATTTCATAAAACAACTGAAAAAAACCCCAGGAAAATAAAGCTCATATTCATATAGATGATTGCTCACTTAGGATGATCCAATCAAAGATTTACAACCAGTTTCCAACACTAGCTGCATGCCTAATTCCATCCAATAATTAAGCTGTTAGGGTCAATATGTAATAACCTGGCTGACTGCAGGTCAATGATCTATGACATCATGGATTATTGGTCGCACTATCAACCACTGGACATTCCAACAAGCCATTGTGACATATCGGTAAAACTGACTGCAGTTTGAAACATTTCATCCTCGCATACACTTGACGATTTCGGAGTACACCACCATTCTGACATTTTGATGTGACATATGTCAGCACATGGCGACGTAAAGCACCTGTAGCACTTGACTTAATCCTTCAGCAGAGAACATTACAGCTAAGCTGTGCTTGTCAATCTGTTTACACTAATCTTGTGTTGGTGTAAGATCTCAGTAAGCTCCAGCGGTCACAGATTGTGGCCAGCGAAGGACTGTAGGGACCATGAGTCGTCCTGACTAACCAACATGTAGTGGATGTAACCTAATATGGAGGAGTGTGGTACATGCTCAAGTCAAAAGGGAGTATGGACTATGAGTATGACTTCAAAGAGGTTCTACCTCCTGATGGGATAAAGCATGAGGGTAGGTGACCACTGTGGAGAGATATAAAGCAATAACAACTAACCTGGTATTCTTGAATAAAACATGACCCTGAGATTTAATAAGCCAGGGACTTAATATCCCCATTTGCTTTTATGGTTGCTTATGCCAAATCCATTCAAAGACACTTTCTGTCTGTTCCTGTAAAAATAATTAGCAGTCCATACCATCTCAACAAGGTAGGTGACCAATAGGGAGAGATAGGAAGCAATAAGAACCACTGAACATACTTGGTAGTCTTGAACAAACCATGACCTGAGATTCAATGTGTCAGGGATTTATGTAAGCATTCATGGTAACCATCCAAAATTCATTCAGAGACACTTTGTGAACTCAAATTTATGATGAACCTGTAAATAAAATAATCTGGGCCTAGATTTTCGAAGCTCTCTTAGCGCTAAGATAGTCGTAAGTTAATGTTAACAATGTGTGAAGAGAATTTCTGGTTTCCCACGCAGTGGCATTGCAGGAATATTGCTAAACTGGCTTAAAACCATACTCACTCACTCACAGGGTACTAAACACAACATCTAGACATTGATAAGAAATGAAAACCAGATTCTGGAACATTGTCCCTGTTTGTAGTGATCTATAAGCATACTAACTATCACTGTTTGTGTTTCAGGAAACTATTTTATCATGGACTCGGAACAACTGGTGTCCAATCCCTACCAGGAGATGCAGAGTGAGGCCATCGGGGACTATGGCAAAAAGTCCTCACTTACAGAGAAGTTCACCAGCGTCAAGAACAACGTTTGTGAGAATCACTTCAACATGGCCAGGTCTCAGCTTGAGCGGGAGAAGGACGTTCGTCTGCGTCACCTACACGAGAACACAAGCCGGTTACGGTATGAAGTGAAGCTGTTGGATCTCAACAGACGGAAGAATGAGATTGAAATGAGGAAGAGGATAGAACCTTGTCGAGACTTTACTTACGATGATACTCAGCTAACGAAGACAGAGAGACGACTGGGGGCTAATATTGAATCTCATTACCTTGATCGCAAATTGAGATACCCTGTGAGAGCAAAAGCTGTAAGTGATATCGCCATTACACCAGCCGTGGCACGGGCTCGGAGTACTCTTAGACAACAGAAGATGAGACCAGATTCTGAGAGAGCTGTGACGGCCAAGAGCACCTGTTCTAGCATGACTCATGACTCATCTCATGTTCGCGAAGCACGGTCTCGAAATAAATGGCCAGCATCCCGATCTGCCCCTCTGACATCAAGTAGCTACGGTTCTCGGGACAGATCTCGTGATAATCATTCTCGGTTCCCTACTATACACCATACTTTTGAAGAAAATTCCTCCTCCCACGATAAACAGAGAGGTTCGTCTCAGCATGTAAAGTTTGCCTTTGAAAGTCCCCATAAACTGATACTTTCAAGTGAAACGGGGGATTCAGTACATCCTGGTGACCACATGTACCGATCATACACCTACTACGGTGGGATGACCAGAAGGCCAACTTTCTACAATGACAGTTCATCAGAAGAAGAAAACGATGATGACTTTGATTCCAGTGAAAAGATTGACCTCCGGGCCATACTGTTCAGGAAATCCCAAAACGGGGACACCATGTCTGTAAAGTCTCGGCCACATTCAGGACTAACATCCACTTCCCAGAGCTTTGGTGTGAGGCGGTCTCAGGGAGCTCCACAGCAACTCACACAGGAGAAGCTCCAGAAGGAGACCAAGATGATCCAGAACAAGATCAACACGTTTCTAAGACGGCTTGAAACTGATCCTCCAATCAGGAAGAAAGTCTTCTATGACTCTGAATCTGAAGATGAGCTGATTGAAACAGGCGACAACACAATTCCAATTGTTGTGAAAAAGAAGAAACCACCACCTCCACCACAAGCACCACCACCAAAGAAAGAAGAAGTGGTGATAGAAAAGGAAGACTCTCCAGATTCTGCAGAGAGAGAGTGTTCCGAGATTCCTGAGAAGCGTAACATAAAGGATGCATGGAAGTATATCCGTGGTCACATGGCTGATGAGACACTGCAAGGGACTTACACTGCTGCAGATCTTGTTCTACAACAACTGACTGGGGTGCTAGTTGGTCACAGTAAGAAACCCACAGTGCCTCTCAACTGTGCAAGTCGAGCAATGAGGCACACAGCTACGTTCAAAATGAGAAAGGTCGTCGAGGGCCTGATTGAGAGCCGAACCAAATATGAGCAGCATGAAGTTGATGAGCTGAAGAAGAAGATGGATGGGGATGAGGATGTTGGGGTGCCACCTGCATCTGAAGCCTCATATACTGATATACCACAGCAGGTAGCATGAGATATGCTATGTTTACAATACAGATATACCATGGATGTAGCGTGAGATGCTACGTTTACAATATTGATATACCAGGACAGGTATTGTGAGATACGCTACGTTTACAATATTGATATACCACGGCAGGTAGCATGAGATACACTACGTTTACAATACAGATATACCATGGAGGTAGCGTGAGATACGCTATGTTTACAATATTGATATACCACGGAGGTAGCGTGAGATACGCTATGTTTACAATATTGACATACCACGGCAAGTAGCCGCGAACAACACAATGCTTACAATAAAGATATACCATATACAGGACATGAAGCAAGAGGACAATTAACAAGGTCAAGAAACTTGGTCAGAGTACAGAACAAAGCAAAGAAGAAGCTACCGCTAACCTTGACCTCATTCCACAAAGTGATCCTGATGATCACAGCTTCCATACAGAGACTTACTACCAACGTAGTGCTTCAGTCATTTGTGGAATAGGTCCCTGTTCATGAAAGTTGTGCAGGATTTAGACGGGAATGAATGCTAACACGTGTACCTTCACATCATCTTTTGGGAGAAGAGTACCACTGTTTGTGTTTACCTTGTGGCAAAGGGTTGTGTAGATTTGACAAAACAATGTACAGTGGTTGAGTTTACAAGAAAGTGCTTTATGTTCCAGTTTGTGTGTGTCTGCTTAAACTGGTGATGGAAAATTACTCATTTAGTAAACCTGTGATAAAAATTCAAAATGGAATATTTGTGAATAACTGATTTACAATTTTTGCGAAAAGCAAAAAAAGACCAGGAGTGTCCACTAATCAGCTGTTTGCTGTGGGTGTGGCCTTGGTGCGATGTGTGTATACCTGTAATCCAGGTGTCAACATATGTATAGGAAAGTACCAATGACATCTGATATTGGATTCCAGTGATGATACAGCTCAGAGGTTACACCAGGGTATGTTAATGTATTTGTTTCAGATTTCCACTAGGATCAGAGCCACAGATGAATCACTGGGTCTTCATAACAGTTGCTTTACATGCTGGGGCAATGGGGTTATCCAGTGGTTCAAGCGTGTACATGTCCTGCTGAAGACTTGGGTTTTGTTTCAACACATAGGTACAATGTGTGAGGCACATTTCCCCTGTCTCCTACTGTGATATTTTTAAAATATTGTTAAAAGCAGCGTAAAAATATACTCTCTTACTGCTATGTATTGAAGCAACCATCATGTTCGTGTTCAACAACTGCGTTTAACGCTATGTAACTCTAAATATTCCACAACTTGTCGTTACATTCTGTTACCCACCACTAAAAAATAGAGGTCATATTTTCAATTTGATGATTTCAAAATGCATGGGTGCCATTAAACAAAAACAACCTTAGTGCTACGAGTTTCTGCTAAGGTATGTGAGTTACCACAGTGTTAAGATACCTTTGTACAGTGGTACTCTAGACTAACGCTTAGTCTCTGACTATTTAGAATTTGATAGTAACAAATTATAAGTTTGAAAGATTTTGTTTCAAGTAACACCATTAACTTGTTGTATCAAGACCCAAAGCAATGAATAAAGTTGCCAATGGACAATACTGCTTTTCACTTTGCCTGTGCAAAAGAACCCAAACCTGTGATGGTTTATGTCAGAACACACCTATGCCATTCTCAGACACACGGCAAATATCCTATTTATGGCATAGCTTACTAGGGCAGTTTATCAGCGATTTACAAGTCACTTCTACAAAGCCGTTACATTACTTATTACTACACTACAGGAATTGTCAAATTTTTACTCAAATTTGGGAATCTTTACTGACATTTACTGCCAGCTTGGGGCCAAATATCAGCCTCTTAGCATGTCTAGATAATTCCTGGTTAACAAGAGCATTGCTGGTAATGAGTGTGTCTTGAAGTTGCCCACTGGCTATACAGAGAATACATGTCCACTTACTGTCTGACTGTAACAAATCATGCAGCATTAGTCTGAATGTTGACACTGAAAGAAATATGTCTGTGTACTCTGTAACCTCTATTAGCTTAATAATGTCCATACAAGAGATTTTCATCTCACCTACAGGCAATAAAAAAATATTCTTTGTCAGATTACTTTGGGTCAAAATGAGTCTAGCAGTGTGAAGGTATTACAATTAACTCTTATGAATTTCATTTGTATTTATTGATACTTATTTATATGACAGATGAAAAGACTGCTAAGGTTAACAGATATTTTTTTTAAATCTTGGCACTGAATATTTTGTTCATCTCAAGAGGTTTATATTTGCTGAAAATAACAATTTTTGTTCCATTATAATCAAAGGCATGTAAAACATGTTTGAAAAAGGCAGTAGAGATTCCAACAAATCAATAATATGAGAATCTGACAAACCAAATGGTTTCACTTCATTATGATAACTAACAGTAAAGATATTCACCTTTATTGTATAATTCTATTATTATCACAAGAAATATTCAGTCTTAAGTCCTATCTTGCTTATGAGAACATATTTTGGAGCCTATATTTTATTAATATTGCTGGACACAACAGAAGCTTCAGCTGCTTTAATCATATCAATATCTCAAACAATTTCTGAATATACAGATGATTACTAGTGCTGGATAGATTCTTGTATATGTATACATTCTGAGCTATTTAACTGTGATATCTGACATCTATACATCTGGGAAATAGTAAATGACCACCTTTTTTTGTTATCATGAGTCTCAAACCTCCATGTATGTTTTGGAAATTTTGCCAATACCTGTTGGGCATGTGGCACAAACACTGTGTGTCCTTCAAGATGGTGGCAAATACCGACACAGAGACGCAGGGGAAAAGATGGAAATGTCAAACGTTGAAACTACAAACAACTACAACTGTATATTTTAGCAGAAATGCGTAAAACAAAATATGGTTTGTGTTTACCTGAAATTTGTGGTGCTTATGAGTTTGTTATAACTGTACTTAACTGTCGTTCATAACGAATATGCTTATGAAGAACCGACAGATATTAAGAACCGTTTGGGTTCTTTTTGTCTCGGCCAGTTGCTGTGTGTTTTAGTCGAAATGCATATAGCCAACCATGGTTTTAACAAACTAAAATAAGTGGTCCCTTTGAGTTTGTTTTAAACATTGTTTACTGTATTGCTAATTAAGAGCATGTCACAAATCTTCAATTTGGGCTTTTGAATTTAAAATGATTATGTCACTTAGTGACAAAATAAATGTTTTGTCATAAAATTAGAATTATTCTAAAAAAATGACAATTTCACATGGAAAATCATGACAAGTGGTGCCCTATTATTCTGCTGGTGTATGTTACTTTGACTGTGATACTTGGATAGACTTTTCCACAAGGAAACTCAAATACATTATTTATTTGCTGCATGTGTATAATGTTACATGGAATAAAGATCACTTGTATTTCTTGTATTTGTTAATTTAAGAAAGATCCAAATGTATAGAGGATCAATTGCTGATGACAATGATCAAACCATGACAATCATGACATTACATGACCGAGCTAAATCTAAGCATGACACAATCCATCTCTTATCTTTCAAAACAACACACATCTTGCACATTCAAGCCTGATTATACCAACAGGAAATTCTGGGAATTTATTGTTCTAATGTTTTCAAACAAAATAAAATGATGCAACTGACTTAATGCACCAACCCATTCCTAAAATCACACAAGGTCTCAATAAGATGGCCTGGAGTTTAATGGCCATGACCCAGAATGAGTTCTGTCCTCAAGCAAGAGGATGATGTAACTTGCGGAATATTTGTTATCTAAAGCAACTCTCCCCAGCAACAACATCATATAAAATGCAACTTGGTCCTGGGATCCTGGAGTTTTATGAAGCTGTATAGGGCTTGGGTCATACTGAATGCATATATCTGTACTTGAAATGTTTGCATGGTCTCATAATGCCAGATGGGCCAACCTGGTGGTTATTGATGCTGAAAGGGTCGTTGTCGGCATGGGTACTACAGATGTGTACCCCAGGTACGTTTCTGTATACAGAAATGTACCCGGGCCATAATCAGAATACAGAAATGTACCCTAGGATGATTCCATTCAGCATTGTGGAGTTTTCTTGATCGGAACTGTCATACTGTTGTATTAGATGCTTTTGATTGGGTTATATAAGAGCATACACGGTATAACGAATATTTCACGGTGCACAACGTACACCACTCGCAATCAGCTGAACGGGAATAACTACATACGGTTTCGGTATTGGGTCGCGGAATATGGACTCGTCCGTCGTTTAGGGTAACGGGTACGTTTCTGTAGTTTGACTTTGTTTAGGGTACAAGTCTGTATACATAAACGTACCTGGGGTACATATCTGTAGTACCTGTGCCGACAACGACCCCTTCAGCGTTATTGATGATAATGAGATGACTGTCCAGCACAGTGACCAACAATGAGAAGAGCACAGTGTCACCTTCAGGCAGTGGGTAGTTGTTTAACCATTGACAATCTAGTACAAGAACTGAGAATCCAAGCAACACACAGTACATCACTAAAGTCCAATTAGTTTTGAACTGCTTCTAAACAATTCAACATGATGGGATTTTTTATATCATCAGCAAAAAAAAATCAGAATTAATACTGAATTAAGGTTGAGATTTGACAATTTGAAACTCAACTGCATTTCTAAAATCAAACAGTGAAACTCAAGCAACCTATTTACTAAACTTAAATTGTCTACTATGTTTGAGTTTAATATCGATTTCAGTTTATTCTGGAAAATGCATTTTCCTGCCTTTTCTCAAATTTGCATAAAAACTTTAACTTATGTCAAAACTCTAATTAATTTTGTTTCTTAAAATTGGGGACTGATCGTTTTCTGGGACACTGACGAAATGTCATCCAAATTATCCTAGAAATGTTTTATTTAAGTAATGATTGTAATGAAAGTCTTATTAATATTTGCTAAAATATTGAATATGTACTTATGACATTTGTCTCTAATAAAATAACTGCTGAAATCACCAGTAGTTTCACATATATACAAGGCACAACATAGCACCTGAAGACAGTCCTGTGGGAAACAGTATAAAGGAAAACACCATGTTGAATACAACATTGTCACATCTGTGATCCACCCACTAACAAAGTGCCTGGTCCCATGGTCAGCCCAGGAAGGCTGTTTGTCATTAATCTTGTATTGTGTAACCTAGCCCCAGGGGGTGCTGATGTAACAGTGTTTGTTCCTGGCTAAGGGTGCTGGATCACTGTCTCCCACCCAGTGGGGGCTAGGGCCAATACAGGCTGTAATTTACAGGGGTGGGATCAGTGCCGCTGTGAGTCAAGGTGGACAATATAACACATTCACTGACAGACACACACCCACTGATGAGTCCTCCCTGTTATTGTGAAATGATCACTTGCCTTGGCTTTTTATCTAAAAGTTCTATGGATGTCAATAGAGGTTTGTTTTGAAGGGTTACAATAAGCCAATAGTTTGAGATCAGGCAGCATTAAACATGCTCGGGAAGAATTGCACTGTTATCAACTACAGGATCAGCCTAATGAGGTAAATGTGACAGTTGGTTGTGATTGTGGCCTCATTAGAGGCATCCTTGGAGTAAACCCAGTCATTGATGAAACATCATGGAGCAAGTCTACAGATTCTCACACATGATTGTTGAATAACAAACATGTTTGTTTTAAGCAAACTGTGACATTCATAACCCTACACGTTTCTACAAGGCGTCAGGTTGTATGGTCATTCGGCAGACACATATTTCTTACTGCTGAATTTGTAAAGTGCTGAAATTTTTAAATGATTGCTGCCTATGGTAACTGAAAACCATTTTGTTAGTTGACAACATCCATAATTTACCCAAACTGTACATGTTAATTTTATTTTAAATATTACCAATCAATGATGGGAACGCTTCATTGCCAATATAGACTGCAACACATGACTGGGTTTTGTCTGAGCCCGGGTATTTTCCACGGGTCTAGGTCAAAAGCCCCTCAGGACAAAAGCCCCTTAGTACAAAAGCCCCTCAACCAAAAGCCCCTCAGGACAAAAGCCCCTCGAAAAATGACCAAAGCCCCTCACTTTACATATTAATGGGAAAATAAGATTAAAGACAAGAAATGTATTATACATTTTATTGCTTGAAAATATAAAGACCCTATAAATTATGGATTATAAATATTAAGTAATATGTAATTAGCAAATATTTCTAGAGAATAAGAAAGATATATATCATCAAAATAGGACACTAGCTCCCTTGTAATATACCCATTTCCTCCTTCGGAGAGCCTGGGTTTGGTTGTATTTGAAACATGTTAATAACACAATGGCAATATGAAAACCTTTCAAAACTTCAATGATATTGCCTCATATCAATATCAATATTACATTATGTATCACTGCATATGTGCAGTGCATACCTGTGCTATGTACCACTGAATGAACTGAACTGAACTTAAATACATGAATCAAGGTGCTTTTGACAGGGGTACTCAATTTAGCGAGGGACGTTTGTCCTGAGGGGCTTTTGGTCGAGGGGCTTTTGGCCTAAGGGGGTTTTGGCCGTTCCCCTTTTCCACTACCCACAGTAATTTACCTTGCACATACTCATCTTACAGGAACACAAGGTCTATACAGATATAGAACACACATATTCAAAGACTAAATTTCCAGGCTTTTCAAGCCTTTTAACTGTCTTATTAGCCTTAGTCTCGCAACAGTTGTTTTAATCCAGCATACTATATTTGGTTGCAGTTGGCTTTCACACCAGCTGTAAATGTCATGCCAGCCTGAACAGTTATCAGATTGGTAAACTGTAAAATTTTGTGTATCTTATTGTGACATAGGTTATATGTGGGATTACACTTTCTTAATAAAGTACAGATTTAGTATACATTTTTGTGTTGAGTTCCATCTCGAATAAATCCACACAGTGTGAGTTTTAATTGCCAATTAGGGTTCGAATCCTGGATGGAACTCCTGGATGGAACACAAAAAGATACTAGAATGGATACTTTACTGAGAAAGCGAAATCCCAAATATGACATATATAGATATTTCTTTTGACAAATTTCTAAATGGCACTGTGTATTCACATCTTGTAGTAAGTTGTAAATTGCCAGAGAATCGATACATCAATGAATCATGATACCCATTGTGACCACGCAATGTGCTTGTGTTATTGTTAGCATGATCCTACCTGGGGCCCAGCAGTCCTGTAGGTGAGGTTCACTGTCAGCGTTGTACCAAATCAGCTGGCGACATCCATCATAAGCCATGGAGAATTCGTCATCACCGATACCGTACCCTTCCTAAAATGGACACATGTATCTTGTACAATTATGGAAATGAATTTGTTTATTTGTGTATTCTAAACCATGTGTAGTTTGGCATTTGAAATGTTGTGTGACATGCGTTTTCTACGATTCCAAACTGACTGTTCTTTGTTGGGAACTTTAGGAAAATGAGTTTGTTCTAAATTGAGATTCACGAAATTATAAATAAGATATTTGTTTAACATTGCATTCAATGAAGTAGCATATAACTAGGAATTAAAGAGTCTGTCTTGGTCCTATTTTAAATGATATACAAGTGTCATCTCTACAAACTACAAGGCAGCTTGGTAGTGAATGTGTTCAACCGTCACGCTGAAGAGTGAGTGTGTGGGTATGGTTTTACGCCGCAATATTGCAGCAATATCATGGAGGGGGACACCAGAAATGGGCTTCATGCATTGTACCCATGTGGGGAATAGAACCCAGGTCTTCGGCGTTGCAAGCCAACACTTTCACCACTAGGCTACCCCACCGCCCCCTCATGCTGAAGACCCTGGTTTGATTCCCACATGGGTACAATGTGGAGCATATTTCTGCTGAAGGGGTCATTGTCGTCACAGGTACTACAGATATGTACCCCAGGTAAGTTTCTGTATACAGATATGTACCCTAAACAAAGTCAAAATATAGAAACGTAGCCGGTACCTTAAAACCAAGTCCATATTCCGCAATCCAACACCAAAACCGTATGTAGTTGTTCCCCTTCAACTGATTCTGAGTGGTGTTCATGTGCATCGCGAAATATCCGTTACTGTGTATTCTCATTACTTACATAACGCAATCAGATGTATCTAATACAACAGTACGACAGTTCCAGTCAAGAATACGACACAATGGGAATGGAATCGTCCTAGGGTACGTTTCTGTATTCGCATTATGGCCAAGGTACGTTTCTGTATACAGACACGTACCTGGGGTACATATCTGTAGTACCTGTGCCGACAACGACCCCTTCAGCCATATTTCTGGCGTCTCACATCGGGATATTGCTAAATGGTACAATATTGCTAACAGCTGCGTAAAACCATACTCACACACTCACTCACAACCTACAACATTAGTTGTAACTGTATTAACATAAACTGGAATTATTTTCATACCAATTTTGAATTGACTGATATTGATGCAACTTGGGGCAGAGATTGGCCCCTGAGTTCACTAAAGCTTAGCCTCTGAATATATATAACTTTTACACTAACAAATAGTCCCATTTAACTTGAAACGTAGATGGGAGATTCAAAACCTGAACCTGAGGAAATTTAGACATGCATTGTTTTGGGCTGTAGCATTGCAGAGAGGGTTAGGCAGTAGGGAAAATAATGTGGTTCAGGGACTGTGACACAGTCTACCCCCTTAGCTGCCCTAGCAAAATCCCTGCAGTGAGCCAGGAAGTGATTTACATGGAGCTTCTTTGTCTCACAGGCACCCATTATCAATAGGTTATCACATTACAGTTTATTACAATAATGAATCATGTACTGTGATGTGTACCACAATGTAATGCATGGATTCTTTCATCTGTAATTTGTTATTAACTGAGTCATTCAATTTGTGGTAACCCGCTCAAATTTCACAATTAGTCTCAGTGTTTGCACACTGTGATGTTATTGACGATTTTCTTAACATGATTTCTCTTTTCAGGTCCGAAATTGACCGATACACTGCACTTTTTTTTCATTTGTTGTCATTGGTCATTTTGCTGGAATTTGTTGTCACAACACATGGGTAACAGATACATTATAGATAGGGGTGTCAGGATACGATACGATACGTATCACGATTTTAAGGTCACGATACGATACGTATCGCGATACATAATTTTCGCACCTTTTCATAGCATTACCTTACCGGCAACGTTCGCGCTCGCTGATTGGTCCATCAAAATAGTCTAGCCAATCACAAAAGATGTTAGTTTCCAACCTAATTTTTAAGTAAAGCTAGCTACATCTATTTATCGGAGCTGTCTCGTATAATTTTACTATCAAGACTTTGAAGGAGATGGATATAGCATAAAAACTTGAATCAATAAAGTTTGAAAATAGGAATCGATACACGCAAGCATGTATTGCGTATCGTATCGTCAGTAAAAATGTATCGATGCATCGATACATTCACGTATTGCGACACCCCTAATTATAGATAATTATAATTATAGTGGTGGCGCGTGGTCCTGTGCTTAAAGCTCAGGTCACAAATCGGTGAAGTTAAGCAGCGTCGAGCTCGGAGAATCCTTGGATGGGTGACCGTGTTTGGCAGCTTGACTCCTGAGAGTTTCTAGGACTTTAGTCCTGCCCCACAACGAAGCACATGTGACACATGTGGTCTCACCTTAGGCAAGTGAGTTTGTTCAAAATCGTCTCTGTTCGCAGCAGGAAAATGGGTACCCGGTGGAAAAAGTCATTATACACAGGAACCTGAGCTGCGAAAAGTTTCGCTTTTTTTATCAGAAGAAACAGTTTCTAATTTCTGAATTACATAATTTCAAATCAACTTGTCAATTATGTAAACTTTACCAACAAAATGAAAATATGCATAACATTTTCGAATTACAACATAGCAGTATTTTATATCCTGTGCACCTCAAATTACATTACTTCACTTTACTGGGTGAATGTTTTGACCTACTACATCAAATATGATTGCAATGCCCCTAACATATAGGGGCATACAATAGCTGAAAATATAAATATGTTACACAATTTCATTTAGTGCTGTGAATGTTATTATTAACAAGATGTTACTTGACTGATTTTACTGGGGCAGTAGGGTAGCCTTGTAGTTAAAGTGTTCGCCCAGGAGGCCAGAAGACCCAGATTTGATTCCCCATATGGGCACAACATGTAAAGCCCATTTCTGGTGTCCCCCTGCCGTCATATTACAAACATGGTATAAAACCATATTCACTCACACACTGATTTCACTAACTTACATGATTGAGGAATTTGCTGTCTTTTGTGGCCCATCCAATCTGCATGACGCCTGCCGTTACTATGGTGACCTCATAGTACCATACACCTGCATCTACTTGGAAGGTACATCTTACACTCTCAAACGATGAGGCATCACATCGGGCCTGTGTAAAAACAATAGCATCAACACATGTAAAAGTGATGAGGACATGATGACATCCCTAAACAAAAGAGGACTCAATAAATAAATTAAAAATGACAGGTAGAACATCTATACACATCCCTAAACATCATAATCAATGTGTATATGATATACATTGAATCAATAAATAAATTAAACCACATTTGCTGTCACTGCACTGCAAGTAATGGTAGTAAAAGAATATCTTCATGCCAACATGATTTATGTAAATTCAAGTTACAAATTGAGCAGAAAATACTGTGTCGTGATGAGATGTTGGACATGTCATGCATTTTGTTTGTTTGTTTGTTTGTTTGTTGTTTAATGCTTCACTTAGAAATATTCCAGCTATTTCGCAGAAGTCTGTAATAAATCAAGTCTGGACCAGACAATCTAAGTCATCAGGAATATTCCAGCATGGAGCAGTCTGTAAATAATCAAGTCTGACCAGACAATTTAGTGATCAATGATGACGATGTTGGGTCATGACATGTGTCAAGCAAGTCAGCAAGCCTGACCACCACATCCCATTAGTCACCTCCCGGGTTGCTGGAGGCCAAATCTAACCCAGAGTTGATGCAAAGTTTTAGTTTTATGCTCTGTGCTATGTGTGTGCACGATATGGTAGGAAATAATTTAGAAAACGTACTCCTATATTTTCCAGTACTCCTATATTGAACAAATAAGGAGAACGTACTCCTGATGTTGAAAAATTATCTGGATCCCTGCCTCCAGTTTATTGTGTGTATAATTTATGTGTAACATATAGAAAAACGTCAGCGATACAACTGTCAAATAACCAGATGCAAGATTAAGATGCATTATTCAACACAGTAGGTACTTCATGAATGTGTGATGCCTGCATTTTGTCAGTAAATAAGGATGAGTAGAGAAATACAGTTGGGTAATTCCAATTAAGATGAATTGGGTCTACAAAATATTTCACAAGCAACCAACTCAGACTTAACATTAATATGATATATTGGGCATACTTTACAACATCAGCAGTTTATCTGGAGCTCTACAGACATATATTTCATCAAACAAACAGAGAATGAAGCAAGGTATATGCAGGTGAAGTTGCAGGGATGGAAATTAATTCATAATGGCCTAACACTTCATTTGACGTTCTAAACTACGCCGCACATACAAGATTAGAAAGTGAGTGAGTGAGTATGGTTTTACGCCGCCTTAACCACTTAACCTCTGCCCCACCGCCCCAGATTAGAAAGGACTTTCTGTCAGTACATGCACATACCAGTCAGTTCATCAGGACAAAGATGGATCACGGTGGGGATTTTATGATCACTTCCTATGGGCTGATATATACACTGAAGGAGTGAGTTGGGTTTAATGCTGTTACTTAGACAGTATTTCAGTTCAATCTCATCTTGTCAGCTTATTGTGACATAAAGGCACCAATATATCCAGTCCAGAGACTGCTGTTGCAAAATATAATTTATGAGTATGGTTTTGGTGCTTATCAACGGATCTGCAATTGGAATCCATGACTGCCTAATTCCTGGTAGAGTCAAGGGAGGCAACTCTGCACAGTAAACAAGAGTGAGTAAGTGAGTTTAGCTTTACGACGCACTCAGCAATATTCCAGCTATATTGCGGCGGTCTGTAAATAATCGAGTCTGGACCAGGCAATCCAGTGATCAACAGCATCACCATCGATCTGTACTTTACTAAGAAAGTGTAATCCCACATATAACATATGTTACATTTGATCACTTTCTAAAATGGCCTTGTGTTTATTACAGACCTATGTATCTGAACCAACATTTGTTAATTTTGAGTTGAGTTGAGTTGCAGGGAGGTGAAGTGAATTTTGGTGAGGTCAGGAGAAATTGGGTTTCATGTCTAACCAAATACTGTTAAACATATATAGTAATGTGCATGACTGTGCGAATGTGTAAGCATGAGACTGCTGGTACTAGTCAGAAATAATGCCAGCGTTATAGCATCTTTATAGAGACATGTTGCTGTATAACACAAACTCAGACACAACATACTTTCTTTCGCTAGCCAGTCTTTATTTTACAATTAATACAAAGTGCCAGGCAGGTTAACAAGGGAGAATAGTTGACGCGTGGGTGTGTTAACCCTGTTGTATTGTGGTTTTGGTTTGGTTAGTTGTTTAATGCAATATTCCAGCTATATGGCGGCAGTCTGTAAATAATTGAGTCTGGACCAGACAATCCAGTGATCAACAACATCAGCATCATTTTACGCAACTGGGATACGATAACTGGACAGCTCTCCTGACCCTAACCGCGGAAATTCGATTTAGTGAAACTTTCTGGGATACGATGACGTGTGTCAACCAAGTCAGCGAATCTGACCACCCGATCCCGTTAGTTGCCTCTTATGACAAGCATGGGTTGCTGAAGACCAATTCTAACCGGGATCTTCACGGGTATGTTGTATTGTGACCTTACCTCCACACCGCTAGATGAGATCTTGAGGTATTCACTGACATCATTGTTGTTGAGCATAACATTAATACCGTTCAGGTCGATGCGTTCATAAGTGAACTGCCTGCCCTGAAACATGAAGTGAGATTACTTAAGTCACATTCAAATGGAATCTCAGAATAAAACATGATAAATGGATACAAAATTGTCTCAGCTTCTATTTACCATTGCCTCATCTTGAATATGTGTCGGAGTTATTGCCCTTGGAAGTTGGTCAATTTTTGAAAAAGCACTTTTTAATCACAGCTCTGCTAAAACTCAATGGATTTCATTTTTGAAGGTACCAAACTGCTAGATAATGAAATGTGGAACATCTTTGCTTCACAAAGTTATGCAAGTCGATTTACCAATTACGCATCACAAATCTCTCTTATAGTATATCGTCATATAAAGCCCACACTACCACTCGTTTTTTCTTAGGTCTACATTCAAAAAAGAATTAGTGTTCTGGAAATCTCTCCAGCAGTTTGTTTTGCCTCACTGTGAGAAGAATACGCTTGACTTTTGACCACAACAAAGTCTGCAACATTTACCATAAATCTCAGGCCATATATACCACTGCAAAAGCGCGTGGGAGGCGATGGGAGAGACGATGTGAATTTCACCGACAGATGTAATTGACAATGACAAGGAGCTGTCAAATCTTTGCTGAAGCGTCATTCAATGCCCAAAGAATTACTTGCCCTTGAATTGACCTTTACATTACATCGGCATTATCCTAGCCATACAAGCGTCGAGAACAAGTTTGCATTAATAAACATTGCAAGTACAGAGTCAGAAATGAGTTCTATTTCAAATTTTTTGAATGGGTGATTAACAAATGCACTATATACACATAAATCTATGGTTGTTTCACAAGTGCAGTATATGCACTTACGTCTATCGTCATATAGCTAGAGGTCATGGCAATTCCAGAACATTGTCGTTTGGACCGTGAGGCCCAAGGACGAAGCGGAGGGCAGACCTGTTAAAAGAGAGCTATACCTTCTGTGGGAACTACTAAAAAGGTACATGACCCCATGACCCGGCTGCATTTCATCCGATCCGGCTCTGCGTGCCAAAAGCGTGTTCTGCCTGCGTTTTGGACGCTTTCTAGCCCTTCAATACACTTCAAACACCCATAACTCCGAGAGTTAAAATGGGCTCCAGCTGGCGTCCAAAGAAACAGTACAAGTGAAGGCAGCCACGGGGGAGGGTATGGGGAAGTCTGAAGACCCGTCAGTATTGCCCAGGAGGCAATCCTAGTTTATTATTATTATTATATGACCATAGATAAGCTGAATTTTGAGGAAAAAAATAAGCAGTCAGTAGAAGGGGGTCAGCTTATCTACAGGTTACACTTTCGTCAAACTTTTTTTCTTGTGGTAAGAAAACAACATCGTATTCCTTCACATGAACTGACAAGAGAAAATGACTTCGTCATTGAAGACATCAAATTTAAATGAGAGTCAATATTTACTATCCTTAACAAAATACATGAACACAAAGTTCCATATCAGCAAAATAAAAACTGCAGTTGACACGGTAATCTGGATTAGAATGTAAAGAATAGCATCAAGGAACAGAAGGTCACTTGCATAGTCAACAGCAAATATGTCAACATAGACAGACAGCTGAACAAAAATTGCTTTCATCTTTGACATTAAACTATTTCTGACAACAAACTCTAATATGGCATAAAAAAATAGTAGTTTACACCAATTACTGTTTGCATGTATGACCACATTTTGTGATTTAGATAAGAACAAATAACTAAACAAATAAACCTTTGCATAATACATTATCCAAGCCCTCAAAACTATGTGGATCTGCCCATTACAAACCAAACAATTTTATAACAAATGGATAATTAACTGGTTTAAAATATGACAAGTGTGACAAGGTTACTATTATGTTTACATTACAGGCAACATTGTTTTTATAAAATCATAAAATGTACTTTTCAAGTTTTGATAAGAATAATCAAATATGCCAATTTATTTAAATATATGCTTGACAAATACATGAGACAAATGTTTTAATGAGACAAATACATGAGTTTTATCCATTATAAAATGATGAAAATATTCCTATCAAAAGTGGAGTAATCTGATTCCTGATAAATCATTTTGGTTGCTATCTCTGATATTAATAAATTTGTGCTGATTTCTTGGAGCATAATGTAAATGTGCTAAAAACATGGAAAAACAAAAACCACAAAAGTTGGACTCACATAGGTTATCGAGGCACCAAGCAGCACAGAAGCCAACTTCCCTCTTGACGTAGTCAGAGTCATGCCACCATTCCTCCAAAACCAGCAGGGGATGGGGAGACAACTCTTTCATTGACTGGTTAATTGTTACCTTGTTCTCACCTGGAAAACAAACAAAAGAAGATATTGATTACTTACACATACATTCATAGTTGATCACATTCAAGATCATTATAAGTTGACCTACTTTGTAAAGAAACCCCATAGTTAGGAATAATTTCACATATTTTCCAGGTGCACAGCCATTGCACCAACAACTTGTGAGATGGATCTTTGATAGGTACCCTACTGTGACCATAGCAACATGAATGAAGGAGTGATTCAGTATTTAATGCAGGTCTGCACTGTATTTCATTTGTATCTTGGAATCACTCTTCACAATAAGGGACTAAACGACAAAGATTCTTGCTAGTTTTGGTTTCATGACTATGGTCTTGGTGATGACCCACTGTGTATCATTATTGACTCTTTGATTTGAAACCGTGAGTGAGTGAGTGAGTTTAGTTTTACACCGCTTTTAGCAATATTCAAGCAATTTTCCAATTGGGGGACACCAGAAATGGGCTTCACACATTGTATCTATGTGGGGAATCGAAACTGGGTCCATGGCGTGACAGGGGTGGTAGGGTAGCCTAGTGGTTAAAGCGTCCAGTCAGGACACCGAAGATCCGGGTTTGATTCCTCACATGGATAGAATGAGTGAAGCCCATTTCTGGTGTCCCCAACCGTGATATTGCTGAAATACTGCTAACAGCGGCGTAAAACCACACTCAGTCCATGGCATGATGAGCGAACACTTTTACCAATAGGCTACACCATCCCCCATCTTGAACACAAGAAACAACTCTGCACAGCAAATTGCATCACACAAGCCCCTGGAATACAACAACTCTCAAAACCACTGGGCTGTTGTTAGTGCATTAGAAGAGAAAACCAACAATGGAACAGTTTCATAAACTAATCTTCACACTATGACTGTGATAATGCAATGCAGACAAAATATGCAGTAAAACTGTGTTGTGTTAAAATCTCATAATGTGATGATTGGTTCACAACCATCGAAAATAATTGGGCATTATTAATGAAATTTGTGCACATAAAAATAAAGAAAAAACATGTAGTTCAATTTTGGGGCTTTTGGAAAACCAACAATGGAACAGTATGTTCATAAACTAATCTTGAGCCTTTAAGATAAATTCAATCATGACTTGACTGTGCTTACAAAATAATGCAATGCTATGACTGTGATAATGCAATGCTGTTCCAAAATTGTTTATGTTCGAGTATGAGAAATCCTGCTTGGTCATTTAGTCACTGTGACCAATCTTTGATCATCTTCGGACCACTACTCTTAAAATCTCTTTGTAGAGTGTGACCCTGATCATCTTCCTACTCTTACTTGTTTGTGCAAACTTCTCAAGAGCTACCATGGAATGCAGGACCACCACTGGAGGGTTGCAGGGATTCTGAAAATATACATGGTCATTGGCCTATAGCTGGCTCCATTAACATTATACTACAATCTAAATAAGAAAGTTACAATACTTTATGGATGACAACTTATGTTCACATAAATCAAAACATATTTAAAATTGTTCAAACATATATTTGTCAATCAAAACGATTTTCTTAATAGTTGCAATTGTTCCTCTCTTTCCCATCTCTCTGTTCTTCTCTGTCCATCTTGTAGAATGAATGTAAATAATACTATGTAAATACTACGGAGAGGGTGTTCTAAGTTGTATAACTTGTACCCAATCCTTTTCTCATGAATAAAATAGGTCTAAAACAAAAACAACTTCTTTAGTGTATTATGATGCAACGTTTTGGTGTAGATACAATGGTATAAGAATCTGTACAAAACGCCACATCATGATATGATAAAGAAGTATCCTACCTTTCTTATTACTCATCAACTCTTAAATGCCAATCATACAGTACAATCTAAATGTCCAGAATAACCCTAAACAAGCTTACAACAACATGATAACTTGAAACATTGTTGCCAACTTGTTACAAATAGAAATGGTTCCAGAGAGTTTCATGCAATCGGGAAATACCAGGGACAAGGAAATATTACATCTTTTATATAACATTATCTAAAACACATGATGTAAACAGGACAAGCTTGTAATCTCCATCATCATAAGAAGTGAAAAGTAAAAAAATAGTTTACTTCATGTCTCCATCAACTTGAAGAAACAACAGAGGCATTCAATGAAACTATCCAAATTTCAAGAATATATTCTTCATGTTGAAGTACATTTTGAGAACATTACTTTCAAATTCCCCAAATATCAAACACTCATATACCCTACCTCCTTCAATGTACCGATATACAAATTTCACCAAGCAGATTAACTGTAATTTTAATTCAGCTTATCAAATGCAGCCATGTAAACTCTTGGAAGTGAAACAATTCCTCCTTTGTGCATAAACACTGTGAGAACCCTAACGTTGCTGAACTCCCTAAAGCAGCGTATATTCGAGTGTGTCGAGTATTCAAAACTATGGCAAAGTTTGCAAAAACATATTCCAGACATAATCTGAATCTTAACTCAACAAAAACACAACTATAGTCTGTTTGACTTCATTTTAGACCAATAAATTACTCACTAACACAAAATCTAATAAATGCAACAAAATCAAACTTTGCAGTCACATGAAATCGACAAACCAACTCTGATGATTTGTCTCATAATTTTGGACACCCAAATCAAATAGTTGTTTAACAAACGATCATTATTATGCTGTCACTTTTCACTATTTCTTACACGTACAACTTGCACACCTGGCTGTTCTACCAGCAAGTGGTCCTCAGATGAAGTCAAACGGACTATACAAGAATTGAGAACAAGAACTGTTAATAACACTGACTGACTGACTGACTGACTACGCCGCTTTTAGCAATATTCCAGCAATATCACGGCGGGGGACACCAGAAATGGGCTTCACTCATTGTACCCATGTGGGGATTCGAACCCGGGTCTTCGGCATGACGAGCCAACGCTTTAACCACTAGACTACCCCACCGCCCCCTGTTAATAACAGCCACTATAGCAGCTGTATGTGTATTAGGAGAAATGTAGTGTACACAGACTATGCAGTACCGATGACACTGATACCTAGACCAACTTGAGTGTACTCAAGGTTCTTGTACTTACCAAATGACAGATGAGATACTGTAGAACGTCAGCTGATAACAAGGCTATACTACTGGGACCTGCAACCATGAGAATACAGTCTGATAATATAGCAAACAGGACACTTACTCTTTACACACACAAATCAACACAACACACTGGTATTTGACCCTTTTTGCCAACAGTAGCTCCTTTTACCTACCATAGATTCATGACACGATAAAAATACTCTGCAATGGAGCCTAGTGATGAAAGCAATCATTTTTCCTCACAAAAACAGTTAAATATTGAAACATATCCATACTAGTAACAGACAACAAAAATGAGGAACAGGTGGCTACAACGTATAACTGTACCCCAACTGCAAAGATCAATGCTGATGCTGGCAAACCCTGCTGATTGAGAGCCAGCTAATGAGGACTAGGTCATAATGATATATGAGTACATGTACCCCTACTGCAAAGACCTGACACTCCAGCTGTCAACCCCTTGTTGGAGATCTGGACTGGAATTCATTCTCTGTAACCCCTGCTTATTGGGAGCCAGCTAATGAGGACTAGGTCATAATGATATATGAGTAACTGTACCCCTACTGCAAAGACCTAACACTCCAGACTTGTTGGAGATCTGGACTGGAATCCACTGTAACTTATAGGGAGCCAGCCAGCTGTCAAGCCTCCTTGTTGGAGATCTGGACTGGAATTCATCCTCTGTAACCCCTGCTTATTGGGAGCCAGCTAATGAGGACTAGGTCATAATGATATATGAGTAACTGTACCCCTACTGCACAGGTTGACACTCCAGCTGTCAACCCCTTGTTGGAGATCTGGACTGGAATTCATCCTCTGTAACCCCTGCTTATTGGGAGCCAGCTAATGAGGACTAGGTTGTAATGATATGTGAGTAAATGTACCCCTACTGCACAGGTTGACACTCCTGCTATCAAGCCATTTGGGGGATATGGAGTGGAATATGTCCTCTCTAATCCCTGCTAATTGAGAATGAGGAATTACTGGTTACAATGAGTAACTGTACAACCACCGCACAGATAAATGTTCATGTTGTCACCCCTTTGTGGAGGATGCGGATCAAAATATTATTGAGGACTCAGCGGTTACAATGTGTTAGATACTCAACCGTTACTGAACAGATCGATGCTATCAACCTGATATGGGAGATGTGGATTGGAATACATCCTCTGTCACCCCTGCTTATTGAGAGCCCTCTATTGAGGATTCAGTGGTTACCTGGTCTTAGTAATTGTACCTCTACTGCACAGATCAACCTCTTGTGGGGGAGTGGATTAGAACATGTCTCTGTAATCCCTGCTTTTTTGGAGCCAGCTTGTAGTGTTGGGAATTGGTTAAAATCTCATAAATGATGATTGGTTCAATACAACCGATCAATCATCGAAAATAATTGGTTAGCGTCATTTATGAAATTTTCCTGTTTGCAGAAAAACATAAAGAAAAAAACTTGTAGTTCTTTGGTTGTGTTTTTCCGCAAATTTCACATCTTTAAAGGATGACTAGTATGTTAGGAACATAAATTTCTTGGGGTCTTTAAGATAAATTCAATCATGACTTGGACCGAGCTTGTAGTGCTCATAAAATGTAACAGACAAAACCAACCTTGTGAAAAAAATTGTTAATGCAAAAGGTGTTCCAGAATTGTTTGTATTTGATTATGAGAAAACATGATCGATTGCTTGGTCGTTTAGTCACTGCGACCAATCTTCGATTATTTCAATTAATCGGACCACCACTACCAGCTTGTGAGGACTGTGTCATAACTATGAGTGATCGGGCTCATCATGAATCATCTTAAGACATACCCTGGCTTGTTAGGTATTCTGACTTAAATTCATCAACAAGCTGTTGTAATACACTTAGAATATTGCTTACTGCAGCCATAATGATTTCTCTCTCTTATAACCATCCTCGATAATCTGCAGGGTATATGTTACGATAAATCTCCACTGTACCCTGGATGCATCTACGGCTCGGCCCCATGATTTTATTACCTCCTGGCTGGCTGGCTCCGCATTCTCACAGTAGCCAATCATTTAAGCCGCCCTTACAACTGAGCTTGCCAGTGTCAACAAAGATAGCGGCTTGTTTGCAGTGCGACTCTGATTTGGGGTGAAATCATACCGACAAATAGACAGGTCTGAAACCTTAAAAAATATATGCAAGAACTCTTTCTACCTCTTTCAGAGTACCTCTGCAACAATTATGTTGCCAAGTTTAATCGGTTAGATAAAATAAGCGAAAGTGAAGTGTGATTGGCACGCTCAACTTCCCAGCATTGACACCTGATTGGATAAAAAACCAGCAAAGGGAGGTAATCGTAGATGCATCCAGGGTATAGTGGAGATTTATCGTAGCACCACAAGACCTCCACAAGGAGCTGCTTACCTGCCAGTTTTTCTGCTAGACAACCAAGTATAACACAGATATTGAGCTGATGTGAGGGATCCTTGTAAATGCTGGCCGGCCCGTCCTCTCCCAGGTTCAGGTGTCTCTGTAGCTCCAGCAGGGCCTCCTGGGGGGACAAAGGGAACATCACTCTCATGGTGGGGGACAAGGGGAACATCACTCTCATGGTTGGGGGACAAAGGGAGCATCACTCTCATGGTGGGGGACGAGGGGAACATCACTCTCATGGTGGGGGACAAGGGGAACATCACTCTCATGGTGGGGAACAATCCATCACCTCATGGTGGGGGACATCACTCTCATCATGGGTGGGGAACAAGGGGAACATCACTCTCATGGTGGGGACAAGGGGAACATCACTCTCATGGTGGGGGACGAGGGAACATCACTCTCATGGTGGGGGACAAGGGGAACATCACTCTCATGGTGGGGGACAAGGGGAACATCACTCTCATGGTGGGGGACAAGGGGAACATCACTCTCATGGTTGGGGGACAAGGGAACATCACTCTCATGGTGGGGACAAGGGGAACATCATCACTCTCATGGTGGGGACAAGGGGAACATCACTCTCATGGTGGGGGACAAGGGAACATCACTCTCATGGTGGGGGACAAGGGGAACATCACTCTCATGGTGGGGGACAAGGGAACATCACTCTCATGGTGGGGGACAAGGGAACATCACTCTCATGGTGGGGACAAGGGGAACATCACTCTCATGGTTGGGGACAAGGAACATCACTCTCAAACATCACTCTCATGGTGGGGGGGAAGGGGAACATCACTCTCATGGTGGGGGACAAGGGGAACATCACTCTCATGGTGGGGGACAAGGGGAACATCACTCTCATGGTGGGGACAAGGGGAACATCACTCTCATGGTGGGGACAAGGGGAACATCACTCTCATGGTGGGGGACAAGGGAACATCACTCTCATGGTGGGGACAAGGGGAACATCACTCTCATGGTGGGGGACAAAGGGGAACATCACTCATGGTGGGGGACAAGGGGAACATCACTCTCATGGTGGGGACAAGGGGAACATCACTCTCATGGTGGGGGACGAGGGAACATCACTCTCATGGTGGGGACAAGAGGGAACATCACTCTCATGGTGGGGGGGGACATCAAGGGGAACATCACTCTCATGGTGGGGACAAGGGAACATCACTCTCATGGTTGGGGACAAGGGGAACATCACTCTCATGGTGGGGGACAAGGGGAACATCACTCTCATGGTGGGGGACAAGGGAACATCACTCTCATGGTGGGGGACAAGGGAACATCACTCTCATGGTGGGGGACAAGGGGAACATCACTCTCATGGTTGGGGACAAGGGAACATCACTCTCTCATGGTGGGGACAAGGGAACATCACTCTCATGGTGGGGGACAAGGGAACATCACTCTCATGGTGGGGACAAGGGGAACATCACTCTCATGGGTGGGGGACAGGGGAACATCACTCTCATGGTGGGGGACGAGGGGAACATCACTCTCATGGTTGGGGACAAGGGAACATCACTCTCATGGTGGGGGATGAGGGGAGCATCACTCGCATGGTGGGGACAAGGAAACATCACTCTCATGGTGGGGACAAGGGGAACATCACTCTCATGGTGGGGACAAGGGAACATCACTCTCATGGTGGGGGACAAGGGGAACATCACTCTCATGGTGGGGACAAGGGAACATCACTCTCATGGTGGGGGACAAGGGGAACATCACTCTCATGGTGGGGACAAGGGGAACATCACTCTCATGGTGGGGACGAGGGGAACATCACTCTCATGGTGGGGACAAGAGGGAACATCACTCTCATGGTGGGGACAAGGGGAACATCACTCTCATGGTGGGGACAAGGGGAACATCACTCTCATGGTGGGAACATCACTCTCAAGGGGAACATCACTCATGGTGGGGGACAAGGGGAACATCACTCTCATGGGTGGGGACAAGGAACAACATCACTCTCATGGTGGGGGACAATGGTGGGGGAACATCACTCTCATGGTGGGGACAAGGGGAACATCACTCTCATGGTGGGGACAAGGGAACATCACTCTCATGGTGGGGGACAAGGGGATCACATCACTCTCATGGTGGGGGACAAGGGAACATCACTCTCATGGTGGGGACATGGGTGGGGGACGAGGGGAACATCACTCTCATGGTGGGGGGAGGGGATCACTCTCATGGTGGGGGGGAACATCACTCTCATGGTGGGGGACGAGGGGAACATCACTCTCATGGTTGGGGACAGGGGAACATCACTCTCATGGTGGGGACAGGGGAACATCACTCTCATGGGGGACAAGGGGAACATCACTCTCATTATGGGGGTGAGGGGCAACATCACTCTCATGGTGGGGACAAGGGAACATCACTCTCATGGTGGGGGACAAGGGGAACATCACTCTCATGGTGGGGGACAAGGGACATCACTCTCATGGTGGGGGACAAGGGAACATCACTCTCATGGTGGGGGACAGGGGAACATCACTCTCATGGTGGGGACAAGGGAACATCACTCTCATGGTGGGGGACAAGGGGAACATCACTCTCATGGTGGGGGACAAGGGGACATCACTCTCATGGTGGGGACAAGGGAACATCACTCTCATGGTGGGGGACAAGGGGAACATCACCCTCATGGTGGGGGGACTAGTGGAACATCACCCCTGGAACATCACTGGGGACTAGTGGAACATCACTCTCATGGTGGGGACTAGTGGAACATCACTCTCATGGTGGGGACAGGAGAGGAACATCACTCTCATGGTGGGGGACTAGGGGAACACACTTCTCTCATGGTGGGGGAAAGGGAACATCACCTCTCATGGTGGGGGACTAGTGGAACATCACCCTCATGGTGGGGGGACAAGGGAACATCACTCTCATGGTGGGGGACAAGGGAACATCACTCTCATGGTGGGGGACAAGGGGAACATCACCCTCATGGTGGGGGGGACAAGGGAACATCACTCTCATGGTGGGGAACAGGGAACATCACTCTCATGGTGGGGGACAAGGGGAACATCACTCTCATGGTGGGGGACGAGGGAACATCACTCTCATGGTGGGGACAAGGGGAACATCACTCTCATGGTGGTGGGGACAGGGGGAACATCACTCTCATGGTGGGGGACAAGGGGAACATCACTCTCATGGTGGGGGACAAGAGGAACATCACTCTCATGGTGGGGACAAGGGGAACATCACTCTCATGGTGGGGACAAGGGGAACATCACTCTCTCATGGTGGGGGACAAGGAACATCACTCTCATGGTGGGAGCATCACCCTCATGGAGGAACATCACTCATGGTGGGGGGGACAAGGGGAACATCACTCTCATGGTGGGGGGACAAGGAAGCATCACTCTCATGGTGGGGGATGGAACATCACTTCATGGTGGTAGGGGACACTAGAGGAACATCACTCTCATGGTGGGGGACAAAGGGAACATCACTCTCATGGTGGGGACAAGGGGAACATCACTCTCATGGTGGGGGACTAGAGGAACATCACTCTCATGGTGGGGGACTAGTGGAACATCACTCTCATGGTGGGGGAACAGTGGAACATCACCCTCATGGTGGGGGGGGACTCATGGTGGGGGGACTAGTGGAACATCACCCTCATGGTGGGGGGGACTAGTGGAACATCACCCTCATGGTGGGGGGACAAGGAAAACATCACCCTCATGGTGGGGGACAAGGGAACATCACCCTCATGGTGGGGACAAGGGGAACATCACCATCATGGTGGGGGGACTAGTGGAACATCACCCTCATGGTGGGGGACGAGAGGAATATCACACTCATAGAACAAATGGAACTGCATGTGGTCTTCCGAACCTACATGTAATGGTTTCCTTCTTATCAGTTAGACAAAACCAAGAATGAGATTTGCAATTCAGTCACAGTAAAGCAGTGGAAATGATAAAGAGCATCTGGAGTCACCTGAAGTTTGCTGGTATATTGGAATATTCGACATATTAGGAGATCCTCAATTGTAAACTTTTACCATTAGCATACACCAAGGCAAGTTCCAGCTTAATTTCATTGAATTACAGTACGGAAATGAAAGACTTACTTTTGTGGGCAGTGGACATTCGTCCAGTAGCAGTGTGATGACAGCAGGGCCTACAGGGTCGTCCATTGGAATGACTCGGATAAGAGATTTGACGACATCCAGCCAGCCCTGATCTCTCTCTGCTGTTTTGTGTAGAGTCAACATGGCCGCTGGAGGCTCCTGGTCACTGAGAACAAAAAGGTGGCAAATATTTCACATGAACAGTTCATAAGTTTCATATCAGATAAGAACCTTACTTCTTTAATTTTGCAGCTAGAGGTTTATATAACATGTCTCAGTCTTTGAACCACATTTTTTTCCCTTTCTCCCTACCCTTTCAGTAATGTGAAAACTGAAGTAGGAAAGAAGAAAATGAAGTAAGTCTAGATTTTCCACAGGTTCTGGTTCCAAAACTCCCATTTCTTCTTTTCAGATGAAAGGGAATTATTTATTTCTACCATCATTACATATACATGTATATTCAGAGACTTAGTGTTAGTTTTTACATATACCTGTATATTCAGAGACCTAGTGTTAGTTTTTACATATACATGTATATTCAGAGACCTAGTGTTAGTTTTTACATATACATGTATATTCAGAGACCTAGTGTTAGTTTTTACATATACATGTATATTCAGAGACTTAGTGTTAGTTTTTACATATACATGTATATTCAGAGACTTAGTGTTAGTTTTTACATATACATGTATATTCAGAGACCTAGTGTTAGTTTAGGGTCCATAGGTCTACAAGTTTTCCACCTGACAAGATATAATTATCAGTCCAAACACTGCTCTAATGATTTCATTTTACTCAGAAAATGAATGGCCTACCTCTGGTAGGTATGAAATGATTAGAATAAAAAAGCCCCTATACATTTGACATCTCAGAAACACCACATCACTGATTATTGATCATATTGAAGAAACATTCCCTTGACTTGTCAACATTATCAGATTGAGGCTATATAGAATAAAACATTTCCTCATTCACCAAACTCTGCTTCCTCAACATCAGTCACTATAAACCAATCATCAAATACATCTAGCTGAATTTGGACAGTTCTTGATAGACATTTGTTGTATTTCTCAACACATACTTAGCCTACCTTTATTTCTTGTCTTTGAAACAACTGAGTGAGTGAGTGAGTGAATGAAGTTTAAAGCAAGAATAAAAAAATATTCCAACTGTATCATAGTGGCTTGTAAATAAAGAATTCTCAACAAACATTTACAAAAATTTAGAATCATATAAGTAAGTAGAATAGTACATGAATATGGGAGGGGAGGTAACTCATGTTATCATTGAAAAAACCCTGAGTAAAACCTGTACATATTATTTACTTTGCTCCAAACACAACAGCTTTAACATGTTCAAGAGAATATGCATCATACATGAATTTTATGCTATTTCAAATATATGAAATTGTTTTTTTCAAATCCATAAACCAAGTATACCAAAAAACAAAAACTTAAATATACTTCTAAAAAAGTTAAGGACTTTCCAATAGTTTCATCAAAATACTATAGTCATCTGTCAGGCCAGGATTCAGTATCACGAAAGTGATAAAAACTGTAAATTTATTGTTCTGGAAGTTCCTTCAACATAATAACATGCAAATCAATATTGAGCAGTTGAAAGTGTCCCAACATCTGTGGATCTGAGACTTACTTGTCCACTAAGGTCCGAATGAGAGCCAGTGTTTCTAACACTAGAGAATCAATACTCTTCGTGGCCAGCTCCGCCCCTCTCCCAGCTCCCCCGCTCCTCCTGTGGTGGCTGCTACCAGATACACCATTGGCTGTGCGCTGAGGGTTAGAGTGACCAGTGCCGCGTGAACCACGTGATCGGTTCCGGGAATCTCTATTCCGAGAATCTGTGTTATCCGTGGACTTGTCTTTACAAACACATGAACCCATTATGTACGCTCGAATAAACTGAGCACAGATGACGCGGCATATGTGCAGCGGAGAGGAAAATATATGATGGGTCAGCCAAAATGTTACTATCATGCCTTAAACCTTGGTTCCATCACTGAGTAGGTGCTAATCATCCTCCATACTGTGGCAACCTGACCCTTTCTTTGCCTCTGTTCATAGTGAAAACAACTGATTCCTCTTCACACTATAACTGTAGCTGAAAGTATAAAAAATTATATGCGTTGAAATATGAAAATAAAACAAATGAATGAGAATGTTACTTTATAGGATTTGTCATGGTAACTGATAAATATCTCACACAGAGTGGGTGAGTGAGTGAGTGAGAGTGGGCCACTTCAAACAGTATTAATTTTGTGCATTGGAAGAAAGCAGTGAGTGAGTGAGTGAGTGAGTTTGAATTGAATTGGAGTCCCTGAAACAAACTGGGCCATATCGTAGACCCTAGACATGCAATCAACCACAAAACCAACATACAACTACAAGACTTGACAACAATAACAGCTCAATAGATAAACAACTGGTAATGGTGTCTAACTCTGATAACTGATCCTTAAACATTTCCTTACAAATGTGGCTGTCACATTCTGCTAATAATGTTTGACGTCGAAGGCGAAAGCAATATTCAAGTTACATGGCAGTTTCATGAAAATAATCAAATCAGGATCAGACAATCCAGTGATGGATATTATGAGCAATGGTAACAGACCATCAGGGTACCATTACACTCACAAATCAAATCACACAACCTGACAACCCGATCCATTTAGTGGTCTCTCACATGAAGCAAAGGTGGCTTGGTACTGATTCTAAACCAGAATCCCAACAGGGGACAAATGTGTTTTCATTTAAACCAAACCATTTAAAACTAACAATAACTGTGCTAAATATATTTTAAAAACTGGTAATGATGTCTAACTCTCATAGTATAACAGGGGTAGAAATAACCCATTGCCCGATGCCTGAGTCCAGTGTTTTTTTCTGTCGGGCAAGCAAATATGTATATCACACTGTACCGGTGTCCAGTTAAATTTCCAATGTTAATTATGTTGTTTATTTAAAAAATCAACAAGAAAATCAGCCAGTATAGTGGAAAAATTATCAGGGCAAGTGATTTTACATGTGCCTCTGTACCGGATTACACTAGCAATTTTAAAGTTATTTCCACCTCTGGTATAAACTGCTACACATTGTACTATAACGTTCTACTGAATCTGTGCGCAGTGTCGACTGGCATCACTTTGAGTAGATGTTGGTACTAACATATAAGGATTATCATTATAGTTGATCATAATGTTATTGGAGTACAACATACATTCCACCAAGTCACCAAGCCTGACAAACCAAGCTCTAAAGGCATTGTGTATGACAAGGACAGGTTGCTGGGGACCTATACTTACCTGGGACTTGCCCTAACTTCAAATAACTGGGGAAGTCCTCATGACACCCCTGTCTATTATAAAAGTGTCAAGGTTGTATTTTAGGGGTCATAACTGTCCAAAGGATCAATCAGGATTTAACATGTCATGAAAATTACCATGCTGTAAGGCCCCTACACATATTAAAATTGACAAAGGATTTTGCTTAACATGAAATTTATTACATGACATCCACAGGGATGCAGAAAAGTCCAAAATCAAGTAACAATAAGTTATCACTGAGTTTGCTACTAGCTGGGTTATAGTATCATTTGCAATTAAATTACTGTAACAATTAATGTGTTGATCATGATACACAATACAATAACAGTATTAATAATAATATTTAAGTGTCTGGGACCCCCATTTTGTTGTCTAGGACCCCTGATAATTATAAGCATGAGTCCCAGGGACCCTCAAATACAGGACTCAAGGTAAATCCCTGATCAATGATATCTTAAATGCAAACAAAATTATCATGTGATGAAGTTTCCAAACAGTTAATATCACTACTGATTGAAATAACCCAACAACATTGTGTTAACAGTGTTCAACATTAAAGGGTTTTCTTGAGATTTGCTGCTCTAGTTTGGTGGGTTGGTTTCTTTTTTAATACCACACTCAGCAATATTCCAGCTATGTGGCGGTGGTCTGTAAATAATTGAGTCTGGACCAGACAATCCAGTGATCAACAGCATGAGCATCCATCTATGCAATTGGGGCACGATGACATGTGTCAACCAAGTCAGCGAGCCTGACCACCCGATCCCGTTAATCGCCTCTTATGACAAGCATGGGTTACTGAAGACCAATTCTAACCCGGATTTTCATGGGTATGTTGTATTGTTGTATTATAGTATTTAATCCGAGAAGGCTGTGACAAGGACCCCATGACTATGCTTAATTCTAAACACTGGCATATATAGTACTATACTGGGCAAAGTTGTCATAATTACAAACTAAATGATTTACCACCACTGACACAATGAAAAAATTGAATCACATATTTCAACACAAATGGCATAAAATACACAAGGTTTCAGCACAATGTCAGAGATGCCAACCCTGAATATAAGGAAAACGGAGTCATTACTGCCTGAAAGCCAGGCCTGAGCACCAAAGGTGCGAGTTGGGGGTGAGTGCGTGATCGGCTCTTTCATACGGACTATGATATGCATTCAGAAAAACTTTGTGAAACTTCATAGTCAATAACACACAATATACACAATCGACACCCAAAGGATCAGACGCTAAGCATCTGAATACTTTTACCAGTGTTCACTCAAATAAATCACTGGTGATTTACAAAATTGCATCCCGTAAAATAAATTCAGTATTTTTCTCAAAAATCAGAATTTTTTAAAGAGAAATCGGACAGCAGATTTTGTATTTGAAAATCAGAGTAACTCCGCTAAAATCAGAGTGGTTGGCATCTCTGCAATGTGCTCAGTTGCTATGACGAAATCTTCCCTTCTGGGTGTAGATACCATGGACACACAGAACAATTGGGTCCATGAAATAACATAACATAAGGACAAAGGTTTTTTTCTTACATTTGGAACTGGCTGTTTAACTTTGTTTTAGAGACAGAGAAGTCAGATAAGGAATTGTTGTCATCTTCATGCAGAGAGGTATGATACCATAGAAATTAATTAAATATGGTTCTTATTTGTATACAAAACAAGGCAGCTTCTATATCCTTCCCGAAAATGAAAATTATAAGTATACACATCCATTGACTGTGGTAATATTGTCAGCACTTTGTGTATGAAGTCTATGAGTAACATTAGTAAACATATTATCATTATGATTTACAATTAAAAACAGTATGCAGCAGAGAGGGTTCGGGTAATCCCTTGCACAGCCACGCTAGTAAGGCTCATCATCAGCTCAGGGCCCTTGCCCCTTCTACATGTAGCCCAGACAGCGAATGGGACTTCTCCCAAGAAAAATGCTGCCTAGTCGAACCCACAAAGAACTTTCCGGAGAATATGTAGACTCCCCAACACAGCAGCCTTCTGCATTACCCAGAGTGTCAGAAGGGCTGTGCTACCGGTGGAGAACCCGGGCACTCTCCTGATCTGTGCCAAGAGATCAGGAGGTACCAAACCAAGGGCACCGAGAACAATGGGGAGTCTGACGACAGTGTACTTGGGATGCAAGTGAGACATTTCAAAGGCGAGGTCTGCATATTTAGCATCCTTTTCCTGAATCTTGCAATCACATTGCTGTCAAAAGGGACAGAAAATTCATTGATATAAATAAATTCATTGGCTTTATCAAAAAGGACAAGATCAGGTTTGTTGGCTGGAATTCTTCCTAGGCTGTATATGGGCCTATTCCACAGAAGTTTGAAAGCAGCATTTTCCATGACACCCTGGACATGTTCAGGTTCGTACCATGGATGGATCCCGGAGTCAAAGCGAGAGGCATAGCGGAGACGGTAGTAAAAGCAACAAGCCATGCCAGCATGTCGTTTAAGATATGCTGTTTGTGCCAAGGAAGGGCATCCACTGACAAGGTGTTTGACAGTCTCTGTAAATTCATTGCACAATTGATATTTCATGCAAATATTTTCTTTTAGAATTACATTTAGACGAGTGGGAAGAGACGAGTGGGCAGCAAAAAGAAAGCCCCCAGTTTCACATTTAAGACCAGCCGACTTCATCCAGTCGAAGGAGTCAGTTGGATTACTGTTCTGTTAAACACACTGCATGTACACACGATGCAATGATTTCTCAGAAAGCTTCTCCACAAATAAACGACTCTGGGCAGACTTGGTGAAGGACTTCACCTGGTTTACCCCCATCACTGTATCATCCAGCAGTACATTGCAATCAACAAAATCAACCTCAAATTCGAGATTCTGTCCAACAACCTTGGCACGCTTAAAATAGCTGTGGAATTCCTTGCTTTTATCATGAGTCTTGACATGCATCATCAGAGGATCATCCGATAAATAGATATGTGCAAAAGTACACAATAAAATTCTATCATGAAGAGCCTCCACATTAATCAGACATATTATTATTATTATCATGGTTATTATAATCAAAGATGGTAGGACTAGAGCAAATACTAAAACTTTCCTCAATTTATGATAGATATCATGATGTAACCATATGTAGGAAGGTAAAACAACAGACTAATAAAGATGTCAAAATCAACCTATAAATGTATTAGACAATGCTATTACAATGTCAACTTCATATTCTAGCCAATTAGACAGAACAATTACTAAATATATTATATTACTTTCATTTACTTACTTTCATGCAGAGAAACTTGCAGAACAATGTCTGTATAAAAGAAGTAAAGCCTTCAACTAAACAGACAATAACTTTTTGTCAGCAGTACAATAAACAACTTAGATTTCCTACTGTGAAGGAATATTAGTGAAACTATGTGATTTAACATGTAAAGTTGACAGGTGGTGACTGCAAATAGATAGTGTTCGTTGCTAGATGAATTTTAATCCCAAACATGATCAGTCTGGACATAACTCGGAGCCATGTGGCTGTGTATTTCATCCTAGTACTACCATGCACCAAAGCTGTTGAAAAAGACATAACCTTCCATAACAAATCATAATGAAGAAGTAAAGATTGATGTATTTTTGTAACTGTAACTTAAAACTTTACATAATAACAGTATCCATCTATACTGTAAACTTGCATACAACATACATTCAAATGTACTGTCAAGCATTACCAGAGTAGAACATTACTCCACATGCATGACTGTCACTTGAAGATGAACATGATGATGAGTAATCTTCCATAAGTACAGATAATCAGAGTCCATTACTACATACAAACACAACTACTTCACTTGTTGATTTATCTTATTTATATGAATAATCAAACAAACAAATAACATAAGGTAGCCGTGTTTCTTGTATGACAATGTCAATTAAAGCGGGAAAATCTGAAATATAACTGATATCAAAAGCACAATTCCAAATAACAAACTTACCAGACCTATATGTTGATATGAACTCATAATACATTGACATTTAACACACACGAAAACATCTTAGGGAAAACGTTAACTTCATAATCAATTCGCCAGTGCTATGAACTAAATTAGATACACATGAATATGTTGTTTAGGTTTGATAATGTTTGTAATTCTGATATTACTGTCTTCCTAATGAAAATGTGGTATACAATTCATGTCAAATTTAGTCTAACGACAACGAGGTAGTAAACAACAGCGGCCACGTTGCTTAAACACAGGTATTATGGTACAAGTAGCCTTACACTGACAGCATAGAACGTCATGTATGTTTGTGCATAAATGATTAAACTAATAATATTCGTATTCCACCTTTAGCAGCCGACGTTCCGCCGCCATGTTAGCCGGGACTTTCAGTGTAATTTCTTCATTTTCCGGTTTATTTAAAAATGGTTGTGTATATATAGAAATACATCAAAAGACTAGATCAAAATTATTCACTAAATTAAAAAACGTCTCTTTGATTTACTGTTTGATCATTTCCTGAAACTAGGTGCGCGCCGGTGTGTGCGGTCCTGCTCTCATGAATATTCATTTCTTGGCAACAGAGCAACGGGAGAACTTGGTGTGGGAATCATGTCGGAGGTTATTCACGTTAAAACTGAAACTGACGAATTTTCCCTGAAGGGAAGAACATGTGAAGTGTCTTCATTTTCATTTATTCCACCAGAAAGAAAGAATCCACCTGAAAGGACGTACTTTGGATCGGAGAAGAAGGTGCAGTGTAAAGAAAGTTGCTCCCTAGTTGTTGTCATTGGATACAAATGGGGGAATATCGGGATGGAGCTTTTCTTTGCCCTGAATAGTTTACGTTTAACAAATACTTGTTACTCTTGTTTGTAAAAGCTCTAAGTGAAAGGCTCATGTAATTTTAGGACGGTCATTTTACGTCATTGTTAAGATATGAGTTCTTAACAATTAAGAACAGGTGCTTGTTTAGTAAATAAGGCATATAACATGGTAAACATTAACATAGAAATATTTTCAGAATGACAACAGGCCAACAAGCAAATAGGACATTTTCATTCCAACCCGAATGTTTGAGTAAGGTATCATTTTTCATGACCATAGCCAAGAAAATGGAGGCAAGAGTGGAATATTAGCAAACAATGATTGTCTGTCAAAAGTTGTAGTGCGGTTGTGTTATTCTATAGGGTGTGATTAAGGTCCATGGTTCAAATCCAACGACAGGACTCAGAAATTCTACAGCCTTAACTGGTTAATGTTGTCGCTTGTTATACCGAAGTCCATGTTCGGTTCCCCACAATGTCTGATGACTATTAATTACTAGTGTCTATAGATGTAATATTGCTAGAATGCTACTTAACATGTTTATAGTTTGTAAAACCATAGTAAAACACTCATGAGATGTCAGTGCTGTTACTGTAATTATCTCTCGTGAAGTGAGTGAGTGAGTTTAGTTTTACGACGTCTTTTAGCAATATTCCAGCAATATCACAGCAGGAAACACCAGAAATGGGTTTCACACATTGTGCCTATGTGGGGAATCGAACCCAGGTCTTCGGCATAATGAGTGAACGCATCAACCACTAGGATAACTCACTTATCTTAAAGAGGAGTATGGATTGCCCTTGCAGTTTTGTCCCTTAGGTGTGCCAGAATCCTAAGATCATGGCTTTGAATCTTAGCACCTATCTGATTTTGATTCTTGGTTGTAAGCACCATTACACCCTAGAATGAATGCAAAATGAGCTTACTCAAGTCTTGACTGATTTGGCAAGTCTAGATTGCCTCATTTCCAGAAATTAAGGATTTTGTTTTGGGAGCCATTTGGATTTGTTATGGCGATAAATATATTTTTAGGTATTTTTAAATATGTTTCTCTATTTTTTGGACTAAATGTCAGTCCAGCACAATACCAGTATTTCTGAGTTTTACCAAAGTGGTGATAAACCTCTCTCTGGGGTAGTCTAGTGGTTAAAGCATTTGTTCGTCATGCTGAGGACCTGGGTTCGACTCCCCACATGGGTACATCGTGTGAAGCCCATTTCTAGGGCCCCCTGATGTGATAATACTGGAACTCTGATTAAGCTGACAGGTTGTGATACAACTGAAATATTGTCCAAAGCACCTTTGAACCCATCTCACCCATTCCTTTGTTGGATTTAACACCATCCATTTGTTGAACCTTTGTCTAAGTGTTTACAGTATGAACACCTAAATCTTCCTGTTTTTCTCTTTAGCCTCTGCAATTGTACAAAGTGAACAAAACAAACAATTTATAAAGTAAAACAAACATGAACATCATGTGTAAGTAGACAACCAGTCACTGTTTTCCTATCACGTGAGTGAATGTTGTTTTGTGCTAAATCAGCAGCTAGTAAATACTAAAGCCTGAGTCATGCAACTAGAAGTTGTTAGCAAGTAAGGTGAGGTTACTTCTTTGAGTGGCATTTTAGAAGTTGTGAAGTACAATATGGAACAAACTTTATGGATAACAACTTCTTTTATTCGTGAGTGCGACTCATTTTATTCAGGGGAGGTAGTGGGGTCATCAGTTTTGTACACTTGTATTGGTGGGGGTGTCAGCAATGTACATAAAAATATTTTAAAATTATGCTTAGAAATTATGGGAGGGGGCAGGGGGGTCATTGTTTTGAACATGACATGCAGGGGGTTCACTTACTTTGTACATGAATATTAGTGGGGATCATTCACATTGTACATGCTTCTCCATTAAAATACTCATCAGCCCCCATAGCCATAAATTATGAACGGTCCCTTACTGAAAGCTTGGGCAAAACTGGTTATGGTATGCCGTTGAAGCCGTTCTTGGTGTTCCACCCCATGGCAGTGCAAAACTCAACTCACTCTCTATTGAAAATGGGATTGTAGGGTGGTCTCGTGGGTGGAACGTAGTTTGTCCTGCTGGAACCATATGTTAAAACTCACTCACTCATGTTCTTGTATAGGGCCGGTACTCCAGTTCAACGTATGACCGCCTATTCAAGTCGGATGACAGCTACAACAACAAACTCCATCGAGATGACCGGGAACATGCCAAGTTGAGAGGACTCACAGTTAATGATGAGGTTTGATATTGTACTTTACCTGGATAGAAGTTAACTAAGTTTGACCCTTACACAAATATATTCAAGCAGAGCTACAGATAACTTTTTGGGTCATTGAGTTATGTACTCGCTTGTGTTCAACTCAATTGGGTATCCTAATTTTCCTTTGAGTAACCAAATAAATTGTACCCACCTCACTCAAACTCATTTGGGTATTTTGCCATTTTCCATTTATTGTAAAAATATAATAAAGTTTAAATGTTATTCATATTGGATCTGTAATATGAGAAAGGATAACAAAGACTGCAAGTTGCCAAGTTCATGTGTTAAAATAGAACCTCTGATTTCAATCAATCAGTTTATTGCATGAAGGCCAGAGGCCCATATACAAAAGAAATATGTATGATATGTACAACATGCAACACACATGTTACATTGAATCTCTTCTCAATATAAGCGCACAATAAATAAATAGAGCTACCATATATTGTAATAGGGATGCTTTACATGAAAGTATTGAATACAGTTTTGTAGCATTAATATTTGATTGTAGCCATTGTGGAAAATACAGTTGCCCTAAATCATTATATGCAGGACAAAGAAATAGAAAGTGTAATTCATTCTCTACAGTATTACAAAATGAACAGAACCTTTGTGATTTTATAATAGATGAATATCTTCCTTGATTGAATATGCCTCATTTATTTTATCTATGCACTGGTAGGCGAGCATTTTTGTGTGTACGCATGTAAGATCAAATTTACGGAGTATTTCCAAAACTTCAAGCATACTTGTACGTAATAGACTTAATAAGAATTAAGTTTTCACATATATATTTGCATAATTTACGCAGATACGCAGCTTATCTGTACCTCTGTTCAAGAAAGCCCATGCAAGTTTGTAATATCTGGCAAGTCTTGATTGCTGCAGTTTCAGGTCTGAAATTAAGTCACATGTCTCCTTTTTGGTGTATTTGATGAAGATAGTTTAGTGGGTTTTTTATGTAAAATATCTTCATTTCAGAGATTAGATATTGTTTAAACTAAGAAAACCTAGAAAATCCACTTGCCCATGTAGGGAAATGTAAAGTACTGTCGGAAATAGAAATAGAAAAAGTTTATGTCTACAATTTATGTAGTTAATATGTGTGAAATATCTAAGTTCAGCCTAACTACAGTCACAGTGACAGGGAGATGTGAAATGTAAAAAAGGACTTTACTGAGGAAAGATTAGTGCAGAAATGAGAAATGCAGGTGTTTTTCTAAGTCCAAAGCGACTGATTTAGAACAGACCATGACTCTTTGCAAATTAGTGTGCGATGATATTGTATTGAAAAGGCACTTTTTAAATGCCCATTTTGAAATTAGACTCAGGTCCATTGTAAACGATAGCTGACGTAAGAATTAATAACTGTAATACTGAAAGTATTAAGGATTTAGCTACCATGGAGTCTCATTATCACTATAAAAACAAACAGGTAGGAGGGTCGTCTCAATAGCAAAACCAGGACGGATGTTGCAGACAGTGTTTGGGGTCGGGCTGGGGGATAGAGATATCAGCTAAGATAAGATAATCCTTTTGGGGAATTAAACTGGGGGAGTAAACGGCATGTCATAACAATTTGCAAATAACATCCATTTCTGAGGATCTTCGGGTGGCCATGCCACCTATATATTCTGAGACTTTAATACGATGGCTTATTTAAGCTTTTCTATGGATATCATACTCTTTTACATATCTCAACATAAACCTCATGAAAGAAAGACACATAAGATGTTAATCAATAGATGAGACATATTCAACACACATGAAAAAGCATAAAACATCTTTGAGATGACCCCTTGTGCCTGTAGGCAGCACATACATCTCATGCCATGTGAGTCGATGGTCTGTTGTCTTACCTGGCTGAGCGACTTAATTGCCATCTATAGTCTGATCTATTGTTTTCAGCAGCTACATGTATTTGTACTTTTTCTAAGTTTTGCCCCATTTTACGAGTAAACATGCTTTTCTGGATATCCTATTACTTATTCAACTGAATGCCCAGTTAGGCTAATGTGGGTAATTTCTATTTGCAATTGTGTAAATTTTAGGGATACAGAGTAACAGTCTAAAAACAGTTTTTTTTCTACTTCCAACAGTACTTAAGGAACTATTGAACGATCCAGAGAAGTGCATAGGGGTATCTACCTACCATATACTAGGACATTATGTGAAATAAATAAACATGGCTCAAAATCATTATGTTTTTTTAGAACATACTGTCTGCATTATTTTGACAATTACAGCATGATGTGTGTTTTGTCTTTTTGGTTTATTCATTGACTTCATTGTAATGAGGCCTTAATTGATATTCGTGTATTCTGTTATTTATTTGTACAATTTCCCATGGATTACTTTTCTAAAGGAAAAGGAAAAGATAGTCCCCACTCTTGCATCTTCTGAGTACGGACATCGGCTGAAGATCCATGTGGATCATCCAGACAGGGCACATGTCCGCATCGGGCACGTCAACTCGGAGTTCTATCGACGCAATGGAATCACATCCTGAGTGAGCTGTTGCTGGGGGTTTAGATGTTGGTGTTGGTGTTGCCGCAGAAGAGGCTAGACACACTGACGAGACGATTTGTTGACTGAGATTTTATTTACTGTGATACCAACCGAGTTACAAGATGTATTTTCCAACAAAACAAAAGTCACTGAAATGTAAGGTTTCAGAATTTTGTATCCACCTATTCCGTCCACAAACATATAGATCATTTTGACCACAGTTTATGGCAAGATGTTTTGGTTTGACTACAGCATACTTAGTAGATGTATTAGTCTTAAAAACAGTTCAAAGACCAACATTATTGTTTTCAGAGATTAATAGGGGGGTGGGGTAGCCTATTGGTTCATCACGCTGAAGACCTGGGTTCGATTCCGCACATGGATGCAATGTATGGAGTCCATTTCTAATGTCCCCCGCCATGATATTGCTGGAATTTTGCTATTACTTGCGTAAAACCATTCTCTCTCGGATTCTGAGATAAATTTGTCTGAAGTGATTTTACACTATGTAAACGTGATGTGAGAAAAAAATTACTGTGTCCAGAAAGTCTTTCCCATCTTTTTGCAGACTATAATTTGACATGAATCATTTCAAAGGTAGGCTTACAAAAACATCTATTAGCAATTTAAAATTCAGGGTCAAACAGCAGCAAACCAACTTTTTCCATGGTTTCACAAAGTCGCAGATATTTCTGTTGTGTTTGAAATAATGTCAGTACAATTTTTAAAACAGCCATGTGGCTGGAATGTTGCTGAGCATGGCACTCAGCAACAAACAAGAAACAAAAACAAATGTGAAATTGCTGGTTGACCAGGTATTCAAAACTGCAATGTGTCTTCAGATATATTAACACTGTATCCAGTACCTGTGAACAGCTTGGTTTAGCAGGGATTATGTAAACATGTTCTTCCCTGTCTGGAGTCTTGCCCAACTGTGCTGCTCCTTGAACACCCATGTATCAGGTATTTTTAGTGATATTTCAACTGCTGGTGTAAATAATTATTCAGTATTAATTATGTTGTGTTTTATGCAATGTATAGTATTTATGAACCATCAAACAAAAACCAATGCATTGTGATCCTGTTATTGTTTAAAGATTTGTCTAGTTACATTCTTACATTTTTGTCTGTTTTTATGTTATGTCTGTCTTCTTTGTGATTTTATTAAGCTTTGCTTGTATCCATTTGCAGGTGTTTTATCCTTGTAATTATGACAAAAATTTGGGTGATATAAAGTGTTTCCTCATGCAGATACTGTGTACAAATTCATTTCAGCATTAAGTGAATATTTACATTGCCAAAATTATTCATTTAACATTCAAACTACCGACACTGATTACTGTCAATGTCATAATGTCATGTTAGACATGTTGTCCGTTTGTAATAAAGTTATTTGATTGCAACTGAATTTGTAATTAATTTTTGCATCGTCATTGATGACATAAGGTTGAGGTGAGATGAAATGAAATGGGGTTTAACGTCTCATTCAAGATTATTGCACTCAATATCATCCACCTTTATTGTCCTTGTTCAGAGGTGTGTATCTGTTCATACTTTGTGGTTGTGCGTGGTCCTGTGCGTAGAGTGAGTGAGTTATTAGAGCTCACACGGCAATATTTCACATAAATGACATCACAAATCAGTTGAAGTTATGCAACAATGGGCGCAGAAAGTCCTTGGATTGGTGACCGTGTTTGGCAGCTTGACTCCTGAGAGTTTCTAGGACTTCAGTCCTGCCCCACAACGAAGCACATGTGATACATGTGGTCTCACCTTAGGCAAGGAAGTTTGTTAAAAAATTGCCTCTGTTCACCGAGCAGAAAATGGGTACCCAGTGGGATAAGTCATGTGACTATTAACTCACAGACAGCTTGGGTTATCCGGGGTATTAATAATATCAGTTAACTTTGTTTTGTGCTGTGAGCATTCACCTAGTGAATGTAGTTTAGTGTATTATAAGTGCACTTAGTATTGTTATTATTACTTATTCCAGAAATATTGTGCCAGCCCCATGAGACACCATGCTGCTTAAACTCATGGTGCTACTGACTCAGGGCTGACCAGTCATTGTTTAATACCCAAATGCCAAGTGCCAGGCACGGTAACGCCAAAATACCATCTTTAATCAATGTTTAATCAGACATGCAGAGATGAAACCACTGACCCTCTGTTACCCAGGCAAACACTCTATCCATTAGACCACCAACATGGTCCTGATCAGGAGCTGGGTTTCCAGAAAGTATTTTGAAAAGTTTGTTTGGTTGGTTGTTTAATGCTGCACTCAGCAATAATTCAGCTATATGGTGGCGATCTGTATATAATTGAGTCAGGACCAGACAATCCAGTGATCAACAGCATGAGCATCATCTACACAATTGGGACACGATGACTTGTCAACCAAGTCCACAAGCCTGACCACCTGATCCCGATAGTCGCCTCTTACGACAAGCATGGGTTACTGAAGACAAATTCTAACCTGGATCTTTTACAGGTATATTCAAAAAGGTATGAGAGGACTTCCTTTGACAATGTGTTGCATGTTGGCAACAATTAATGCTACTTAGTTTATACATTTGCGTTTTTGTAGTCATAAATACATGCAAAGATAGTGATAATGCTACAATATAGAATAAAGGCAACATATAACCATACTGTATTACTCAGTATTGGAATCCCAGTGAATTAGGATATATGGGACCATTTCTAAGGGTCGGATAAAAAAAGTCAATTTTGAGACTCTAAATTGATTTTCTTTTCCGGATAAAGTGCAAGGCCTACCACCCCCAACCTTAAGGAATTAAGATTTGTATCCCAAAAAGAAGTTTTGAACTGGTCCCTAAGTTATCTGAAACAGTGAAGAATAGCAGATGCACGATAATTGTCTCCACTGTTCCTCTGTGGATCAATACTTGCAGTATCTGCAATTGTTCTGAAGTTACTCCATTCTTCATTGTTCACACACTGTACTAGTCACTATATGGCTGAAATAAAACTGATGCGATATTTAATATTAACTCACTCACACATTGTGATAAAATGCTGATGCGACTTTAAATGTTATCTCACAAGTTGTATTAGTCGCTATATAGCTGAAATAACACTGATGCAGCGTTAAATTTGAACTCACTCATTTTGAAATTACGCTAAGGCCAGACCAATTATGTTCCTTGTTTTACAGATTTTTATCCTCGGGAAATCCTAAAGGCAGGAGGGAAAAAAAAAAATCATGACCAGTCAAAGTAATATTCCTTTTAAATACCAAAATATTTTACTTTTGACAATTTATGAAATGCATATGGGGGAAAAAACAATCTAAAAACATTTTCTTGCACATTTACATTTTTGGCCAATAGAAATATTAAAATATTTCACCACTGGTCCAATCTGGGAATCATAAACCTACATGGGGAATCAAAGTCAGATCCTTGGCATAATGAGCAAACACATTAACTGCTGGACCGCCAGCGTGATTTATCCAGGGTGTAATGATGGGAGCCCATCTTCCCCAGTCAAAGACATTGACAGATAATGAAATACATATCAAAATGTCAGGGGTTATGTGCATACATAGTGCCATACATGCTATGCCAGGAAAGGTTCTCAACTGCCATTTATTTAGGCATTACATTCCATTCATCTATCCATACAGGGGGCGGTGGGGTAGCCTAATGGTTAAAGCGTTGGCTCGTCAACGCCGAAAGACCCGGGTTCAAATCCCCACATGGGTACAATGTGTGAAGCCCATTTCTGGTGTCCCCAGCCGTGATGTTGCTGAAATATTGCTAAAAGTGGCGTAAAACCAAACTCAGTCTGTCTATACAGCTTGTTTTAACAACAGGTCATGGTATAGGTAATTAGTGTGGTCCACATTACCTGTCATCAAAAGCACAGGAAACACTTTCTCAACATCTCATCACAATAATTTCTACTGACACTAAATAAAGCGAGTTGTTATATAAATTAGTGTACTGCAGTTTTACGTGATTTTACTGGTAAATGAAATGGTAATTTGAAAATATTCATGAACTTACTTGCTCTAAGTTGTGGAGTGAGTGCGTTTGGTCTTGCGCCGCTTTTAGCATTATTCCAGCAATATCACGGCGGGGGGACACCAGAAATGGGCTTCACACATTGTACCCATGTGGGGAATCGAACCCATGGTCTTCAGCGTGACGAGCAAACCCTTTAACAACTAGGCTACCCCACTGCCCCACACTGATATGTCATTGTATCTACACAGATTAGTTAATGACCGGGGGAACATGCTTTAATGGCACTTTATAGGGCTGTAACGATGCATCGAACTATTGCTGGATTGCAATTGAGTCTCCGATAGCAATTAATCGATGGTAGAAAAGGAAAACTATCGATGCATCGATAGTTTGTGTGATTATCAATAGTTTAGTAAATGACTTTCGCTGATAAATGCGCAGCACAAAATTGTTATCTAATATTTATGTTTTGGTTTTTAATGTTTGGGTGCAGGCTTGCAGCTTCTTGAATGTGTTTTAACTGTTTACTTGATCTGGATTTCAAGTTTCCTGTCAGTTATTAGAAGAGACAAACTATTTCAACTTGTTTCTATTTCATATAAACTATACATTCATTTGGGAAATGACTTCAGATGTGACAATTCAAGGAGAGAAAAAAATATTTCAATAGTTGGTTGCTATAGACTATCGTTATCGCAATAGTTGTCTCCCCCTCAATTGTCACACCGAGTGATTTACAAGGATCCAAAATTTTATCCTATCAGCACCTTAGGTTGTAGGTTGTACTGGGTTTTTTTTCTATGACTAAGGGTTTTCCTGAAGATCCTGGACTAAGGAACACTTGTTACCATGATCCCGTCTTCAGCAACCACATTCCACCTGTGATGATCCGGGTTAGAATTTGTCTTCAGTAACCCATGCTTGTCTCCACCTGTGAGGATCTGGGTTAGAATTGGTCTTCAGTAACCCATGCTTGTCTCCACCTGTGAGGATCTGGGTTAGAATTTGTCTTCAGTAACCCATGTGTGAGGATCCGGGTTAGAATTTGTCTTCAGTAACCCATGCTTGTCTCCACCTGTGATGATCCGGGTTAGAATTTGTCTTCAGTAACCCATGATTGTCTCCACCTGTGATGATCCGGGTTAGAATTGGTCTTCAGGTTAGAATTTGTCTTCAGTAACCCATGCTTGTCTCCACCTGTGATGCTCCTGTGATGATCCGGGTTAGAATTTGTCTTCAGTAACCCATGCTTGTCTCCACCTGTGATGATCCGGGTTAGAATTTGTCTTCAGTAACCCATGCTTGTTGTAAGAGGTGACTAACAGGATTAGGTGTTCAGGCTCACTGACTTGGTTGACACACATCATTTTATCCCAATTGCGTAGATTGATGCTCATGCTGTTGATCATTGGATTATCTGGCCCAGATTTTGATTATGTACAGACTATCATATAGCTGGAATATTGCTGAATGCTGCATTCAACAAACTTTCACTCACTCATATGGAGATTTGTTTAAAAATTTGTCATATTATGTGTTGGGTTCGATAGAGGAAAAATTAGACGCAGACAGAATATATTTACTTCTTCAGTGAATGACCTCTTGGTGCTTTCCATCTGTCAGTTGGGTGTGAGATTGCCACAGGTTAACAGCTTGTGAGGCTTGACAGCCAAGGGAAACAACTCTCCACAGCTAGTTGTGACCCTTGGAATGTCAATCCAACATAAACTTCCTTGTAAGGATTTAAACTGTAAATGGACTTCTGCAGATGTTCAAAATGGAATATCCATGTTTGTAATAATTTCAGCTTAAATCCACTGAGAAACTTACAGAGTGAACCTGTAACATGCCATCATTAACATAACTGATATCAAATCCTTAATATGACATGCAACACCCATTACTGAAGTTTTATTGAACAAGTTAAAGCAAATATTTGCATATAAATTGAACATTTAGTGATCAGATTTGACTGAGGAAATTTATTTTCCGATAATGAAATCGTTTCTACCGGTAACCACACCTGTTTACATTAATGAAACCAAGTAGCACATCCAAACAGTACTGAACAGTTTTTATCACATTCCCATTGTGTAACATATAGTGCTGATAATTTTTAGTAGGATAGTTTCACTTTTATCTTAAGAATCAATTACAACATTGTGATCAATCACTTTCAAATCATAAATGCAGTTCATTAATGAGAAGGTGGTGTATGGTTTAAAGCTGTGAAGTAACAAAACTCAAGTCTTGATAAAGTTCATGTTCTTTCATGCTCACAAGTGCAGTAACCGCCTCCATGGTGTAGTGGGTAGAGCGTCCGCCCGAGAGCGGAAGGTCGCGGGTTCGATCCCGACTGCTCATACCAAAAGACGTTAAAATATGGTACTTGTTGGTCCCTGCCTGGCGCTCGGCATTAATGGGTACAACAAGGACTGGTCGGCCTCGGAGTCAGTATAATGTGTCTGAGTGGGGTATTCATGCTTCACTGCGGCATGGTATCTCAGTGGGCTAGCACTATAAAACCAGCTTCAGTCTGGGCTAGTACAAGCAGCCGCACATACACATACACACGCATGCACATCGTCATATGAGCGAAATATTCTCAAGCACGACCTTAAACCCAATTTCACCTCCTCACCTCACAAGTGCAGTAAAACTTCATCAAAGTAAAATCACTGTTCATAGGGGATAAATGAATGACAGAAAGAAAACAAAAAAAACCAACAACTTGAATTGTCCATTTCATCACGGTCAGTCATCATCTTCTTAAACCAACCCATGAAGATCTGGAATTGTTCTTCAGTAACCCATGCTTGTTGCAAGAGGTGACTAATGGGAGCAGGTGGTCAGGCTCGCTGACCTGGTTGACACATGTCATCGTATAACAATTGTGTAGATTGATGCTCATGCAGTTGATCACTTGTCTGGTCCAGACTTCGATTTTACAGACCGCCACCATATAGCTGGAATATTGCTGAGTGTGACATTAAACAACAAACCAAATACCATCTTTTTTAACCACTGTTGGAACTTCACATTGTAACAACTTCACAAATACTCAAGTATCCTAGAATAAATAAGGAATGTAAGTTTAAGTCAACATTGCAATTTATTCATTGACTAGGATCTTTAACATTCCTCTTGGAGGCATCCTGTTCAAAATAGTGGTACAAATAAACTGACAATACATAAATCATGACACAAGATTTGACATTGAAAACATCTTAAAATTCTAACCCTAGAAACAAATCACGGATGACCAAGTACAATGTCTACCCTACTTGTATACAGTTGTAAGAAATTTGAATAAATATCTAAAATATATCTTCAATGACATACAGATGCAAAAACCTACAAGACTCTTCCACAAAATGGTTATGGATTCAGAAAGAATTGTAAGAATTACATCCTGTATTTCACCAGACTGAACATGAGACATGAGAATATCCAGTTTCATATTCCGTTTCAACTTGCTAACCATCTTTACTCTTAAATGATAAATGGTTTGAAAAAATATTTGTTCAGACTTGAAGCCATTAAACAAGTCAGCGTGTTGTTCTGCTTCACTGCAGAATAGTCTGTCAGATGGGCGCCATCTTGTACCCCAAGATGAAGTATCAACGGCCTTTATCAGACAGAATATAGCCATTATATGGCCTATTTTTCAATCTAACAATTTAACATAAATTGAACAAAATAAAAGTTTTCATATTCAGTTTTCCGGAAACACCAATCAAGTACTGCAATTCTAAAAGAGAACTGATGACAGTCTAATGTCTGGTTAAAGATAGAAATCACATTTTGTGATCAAGGTTTGGTATATTTATGTTACATATTAATCTTATTTACACAACTATACACATGAACACCAGCATACGGTATATTTACATATAAATATGCCTGTAGATATAGTTCCCTATGCACATCAAGCTATATCTGGCATGGTGTTCCAATCTTGATTTGCATAATTAAGATCACTAATCATAATTATCTTGCCATTCACATACCGACATACCAGAAATCTTATCACCTGAAAGGATGTTAACCCTAAACATTGCCAGTCATCATGCTTTGTTAGTCCAAAAATATCAGAGGTGTCACAAAGTTGTTTGAAAGGCATCTTCAGAATTTGGGTAGCAATTCTTGGAAGCAATTGTATGGATTACAATTTCTTTAGTATCCATACAGCAACGTTTCAGTATAGATCCTTACACTTTATCAGCTTGACAACAGTAGATAACAGTATCATGATCTATACCAAAATCTCACCATATATGACAAATGTATCCAACTGCCAATTAAATATGATGATTTCAAGCCATATATTTAACCAGGTAACTAAGATCCATATCATACTGCATGCCAAATTTATTGACATTACGATGATTATGTGCTTTGTGACACCCCTTATATTACAGGATATACAGATTGAAATAAATAAGTGAACACAAAGTGATGCGGAGGTCGCAAGTTTTATATTGCGCATTCAATAACATCTGATATCAAATCAATAAGGCAGAGGGATCTGTTAGTATTTGGAGTTACTTTATCGTTCAGACCGCCTCCGTGGTGTAGTGGTTAGAGCGTCCGCCCGGAGAGCGGAAGGTCGCGGGTTCGATCCCCGACTGCATCATGCCAAAAGACGTTAAAATCTGGTAATTGTTGGTCCCTGCTTGGCTCTCGGCATTAATGGGTACAACAAGGACTGGTCAGCTCGGAGTCAGTATAATGTGTCTGAGTGGGGTATGCACGTCGTCATACGAGCGAAATATTCTCAAGCACGACGTTAAACCCCTTATCACCTCACCTTTATCTTTCAGGTGCTGTGACGTCGACATTGGTTTCATTTGTCCCAGTTTCCACATAACAAGCAACTCAAGCATCTTGCCCTTGGGTTCTTATATCAAACAGCTCAACACTCATCAATAGTTGAAAATCATGAGGCTTGTCAAAAAGAAAAGCCAAACCAGCTTCAGTGAAAGAGTGATCACCCATGTCATTTTATTGTGACATCACAATGGGCTACAAAGCATTGTGAAGCAGCTCCATATCCTATGAAAGCCATGTTTGAACTATCAAATAACCGTTTTCAACACTTCCCAAAATAATGATACAATAATAATGAACTACTTGTCCAAACAATAACTGCCACCTGTCTCATTCATTTCCTGGTTTGTACATACTGATGCCAAATTTTGTGTATGCAGATGTGAACTGTAACATTTCAAAAACTGCAGGGTTTTCACAAATTGTTGAACAGTGTCATGTTAGGACCTGGCATGTCACTTCACTTGGGAGGCAAGTCCAGAGTGTCCCAGTGAAACCAAACACGAGCCTGTCATCCCATTGTGACATCACAGTGGGCCACAAAGCATTGTATTGCAGTGATATCCTGTAGAAGCCAGTTTTGAATGATTAAATAACCTTTCTTCAGCACTCGTAAAAAAAATGCCATTGCTAATTCAGTAACTCAAAACCAAATACCATCCCTGCCCAAAGATTAATAGACTATGTCCTGTTGGCCTATATATTTCCCTGTAGAAGTTGACATCAGTTGAGTTCTGTGTTTATTCTTATTTGACTTCTAGAACTGCCTCTTGCACACTTGAAATCCCCGAGACCGATCTCCATTTGAAGCCTCAATGACCATTGTCTAAGACACCCTACACGTGTGGATTACATGCATGAATGATAACATCTGCTCTAACAGCTTGGAGGCTATCTAATACATACTGAGTTAAAGATAAGGGCGAAATGGTATACCGAGTTGTTATTAGAAGAACTGCTGTATTTTATCTTCGGTTTGGTTTCCCGTAATGCAATTAAAAAATTAGGTATGTTCGATTTTTGTACCGTCATTTCTATCTAGTCATAAAATGACAGTTTTGTTCATTCAAAATAAAGATTATGTAGGGTTTGGCTCTTGTCAATTTTCTGTATTATGACCATATATCATATACCAAACCGAAACGGACCCAAGTGAAGGCCTTTTACCAGTGTATGAAATAAGCCAAAAACCCAGCCTGACATCTCGGCTGGTAACTTCAAAAACCTACCAGCCCAAAAGAGATTTAACTCATCCTTCTCAAATACTAAAGAGACAGTGCCAGTGGACAGGTTATCTGAATAAAAAAATTTCACCTGTCTATCGGGCTGGCTAGCTGTAAAATTAGACCGTATGGCAGAAATCTAGCCCGTCTCAGGCGGTCGGACAGGCCTTATTTCATACACTGCGTTTACAATATGTACTGTACCGTGCTAAGAGCATACCGTTTCACCCCCAGTTAAAGAATTCCTTGCAACCAAACAGCAGATCAACATGATTAAAGTAGTTCAGTTACACCCTGGCAATGATGTCTTTCAGTTATTCATACAAAACATAACAGAAAAAAAGTGTCAAAAGTTTCGGTCTACCCTAATGTAACTTCTATGATCTTATGTTATTTTTCATCAAATATTGTATTATGCAGATCTATGTCATCGTCTTAAGGCAGCAGTTTAATGAAATCACAAGAGATAATCTGTATGACATTCTTGATCCCACATTCAAACAAATAAGTATGTGTAATGTTGAGAAAAAGAATCCAAACAATTAACAGGAAGCTGAACAAACATGAGAGATAAATGCATTTGTCAGCGAAGATACAATTGTTTGACCAGTTCAAAAACATTTGATTTTTCTCCATTTCAAGAATACAGTAACCATAACATCACCACCAACACAAGACATGGTAGTTTTAAATATGTGTACGTTTGTACAAAGGTCTGGGTGTCTTGGCTGGCCAGACCCATGGACGACATTAGTCCTTACCCGCGTCCCCCTTTTTCTTATCACCTGCAGAGTCCTTACTCTCACTTTCTTTGTCGTCACTTTTACTAGCTTGTGTCTTATCGTCAGATGTTGCTGTACTTTCTCCCTTCTCCGATTTACTTTCCTTTTTGTCAGATGCAGAATCATTTTCTGCCTTCTCTGTTGACGATTTTTCATCTCCTTCCGATGTGACTTTACTTTCATTGGAATTGTTCTCTTTTTCACTTTCCTTACTTTTATCAACCTTGTCATCTGCGGACTTTTTCTTGTCTGCCTTTCTCCCCTTCTTTTCATCCTCATCGTCATCACTCAGCATCACAACATCCTCAACAACCGCTACAGCTTTTGGGGCAGCACTTCTGTATTTCTTTGTCTTAACTTTAGACGTAGCTGTAGCCTTATCTCCTTGGTCCGTCTTCATCCTCTTGGTCGCAGGCTCATCATCATCAGACAGTTCAATAGTTTCTGCTGGCATCTTCTGCGGTTTGGCACTGATGGGCTTCTTGATAAACTTTGCCGTTATCTTTTCATCCAACCTTTTCAACTTGATGGACAGCTTGCGAAGATGTTTATCTCGAATGTGTTTGACATGGTAAGCTGGATGGAAACCCTTCTCTTTACAAATCTCACAGTTTCTTAGTCCTGATGGAGACTCGAGGCAGGTGTGTCGCAGCAGGGACTCCTTGTCGGCTACAACCATGCCACATTTCATGCAGGTGTGGTGAACGCGCATGCAGTGACGGGTCAAGTCGACATTGCGGCCAAAGTTGAGGTTACATAGCACACAAACACTTCCTTTGACCAGCTGGTTATCATTCTTGCCACTCTTGGGAGTTGTCTTGGGGTTGGCAGGCTTTTGCCTGGCTTGTGGTGGAGCATGTGGTGGAGCATGGGCTGCAGCATCAGGCTGAGAACCGGACTTAACCACGACCCCATGCACTGCTGCCATATGGCTCTCCACAACACTTTTGTTGCTGCATTTAGTTCCACAGAAAATGCACTTGCATTCTCTTAGGAAGTTGACGAAGGCTTTGTTGTGCACGATCTTCATATGCATTAGTATGTTGGGTACTCTATGTAGACAGACGATGCATTTGCCAGCAACTCCTCCGGATGAATCTTCTTTGTGCACATCAAGATGCTTCTGCAGACCTTGTGCTGTCCAGAAGCGAGCGAAGCACGTGGCACAGTACAATGGAGGGTGGACACGGTCAAACACACCATGTGGCATATCAATCCGATGAGCATAGAAGAAGTGGATTCTCAAAGCTGTCCGATCCTTCACATAGCCACCGCAGATCTCACAAACTTCAAATCCAGAATTTGGTTTTGATGCAGAAGAACCCTTGTCCAAGACATGGGTATTCATGCTGATGATGTTGTTGATTTTATTAGAAACATTGGTGGTTGGGGGTCTGACGTATGTAACATTAGTTTTACCTTTCACAGCAAACTGTTGGGCATTCTGACCCCTGAATAAGTTCACATTTGGAGCTAAAGTTCCTCGAGCCTGGAACGCTGTCCGAGCCTGTCCTTGTCCAAGTTTTGCCAGCAGAGCAGGATTCTTGAAAGCCTGAGTATTGACCACGGGACCTTTGTTCATCTGACCGTATGGAATGGTCTTGACCACCTGGTTACCACTTTGTACCACCTGACCCTTTGGCATAATTGGGGTGACAGCTCGTTGCTGCTGCTGATTCTGTTGTTGCTGCTGCTGCTGCTGTTGTTGTTGCTGTAGGCGATTTATGTTCATCAGCAATGGGTTCTTATAGAATGTTTTCTCCAGGCAATAATTAATCTCTGGGCCAGGCATCCATGACGGGTGGAGATTCAAGTTCAGTTTGAAAGTCTTGATACATCTAAACTTGTGTTGTGTAAGCTTGTTTCGCAAGTTGTTTTCATATGGACAGAGATTGCACTCCCAGAAAGGTGGTTTCTCTAAAAATCGAGCCTTTGTGCTATGTTCAGCCTCCATGTGGAAAGTGAAGGCCGAGCTGTTGCGGGTTTCAAATTCACAGTGAGCACAACGCAAGTCATTCTCTGTCATGTGTGGATGTTGCTTGTGCCAGAACATCACATTTTCAGATTCTGTCTGAAATCCACATTTGCACTTCTTTGACAATGAAAGTTTCACAGGCCCAACCTTGTCCTTAAGTTCTACATGAACTGATTTCAATTTATGGAAATCTTGCTTCTCTTTATCAGTGAGCTTACCTTGGTTGCTCCTCTTATTCTGAATTCTTACCAAGTCACTATAAACTGACTCCTTCACAAGATCCTGTCCAAAATCTCTCAGAAATTTAGCAACAGCGCCTAGCTCAGAATCAGGTTTCAGCTTGAAGTTCTTGGGTCTGTGATAGATACCTTGTTTCAGTTCCCACTTGACAAGTTCAATCATCTCGAAGCTATTACTGGGTGGACGTAGATCAACCTTATCGACCTTGTTCAACTGTTTGGAAGAAGTCACTGACGTCACAGCTCCTGACTTCTTAGAATTTGTGACCCCAACAATTGATATACCCGGGGTTGTTTTAATGCTGCCTTTCTGTGCTCCAGAGGTGATCATAGTGGACATGACGGCAGACGTAGACCCTGCCTGCAGCTGGGGGTAAAGAACAACCCCAGAGTTGAGAGTCAGACCCTGAAAAGATGTCTGTGGCTGGGAAAGGATGACTGATCCACCACTTTGTGTAAGGAGGGCATTTTGTACAGAGGGGATTACCATCCGAACAGTTGTCTGTTGGCTGGGTAATATACTGGCTCCAAGCAGGGACAGAGGCTGACCGACATTGTAAGCAAGGGGCACTACCTGTGAGGCAGGTTTGAGAGCAGCTGCTGGAACACTCACAGATCTCTCAGTGGCCACCTTGGGGGGTTCCTCCTTCTTAGGCTTCTTTTCGATGATCATGTCTTTGTAATCTTCATCGTCTGATGTTTCAGCGTCTATGTAACCATTGGAAACAGACTTCCTTTTTCGTAGATTTTTAGGGGGTGAAGCTTCCGTACCAGGTTTTTCTTTACTCTCTGCAGTGGTCCCTTCTGTACTGACGCCTTTTTTCTCTTCTTTACCCTTTACAGCATCTGTTTCCTCTTTTGCAGTTTTTGTTTTCTTATCTTCCTTGGTCTCTTCTCCTTCATCTCCATCTTTCTCCACCACTTCCACTTTATCCCCTTCTCCCTTATCTGCTTTCTTCCCATTGTCTCCTGGCTTTATCTCCAAATCTGGATCAGGCTTTTTCACTTCATCTTTCGCATCAGCACTACTCTCAGCCTTGCCTTCATCAGTCGCAGCAGCACCATTCTGTGCGCTGCCGTCACCTGCAGCATTTGGTGTCTGGTCATCCTGCATATTTTGGTCTCCATTTACACCAGTCCCCTCAGTGTCATTGCCATTCTCAGCATCAGTCTTCTCTGGTTTGTCAGCGTTAGATTTCTCAGCACTGTCTTCCACGTCACTTTCCTTGGAGTTTGCTGTTATGACGCCATCATCACCTGCCGTCTTCACACCTTTCTTGACTTGGGCAGGATCACTGTTTTCCACATCCCCATTCAGGACAGGATTTTCAACCTTGGCCTCATCGCTGTCAGCATCCATCTGTAACACAATGTCACTCATTAGCTAAACACAATACAATGGATCATGTTTGATTGTCGTTTACCGCAAAACTCAGCAACACTCCAGTTATATGGTGACTGTAAATAAACGAGTCTGAACCAGATCCAGTGATCGTCATCATGAGGATCAATCTCCACAATTGGGAAACAATGACAAGTGTCCACCAAGTCAACGAGCCTGATCACCCGATCCTGTTCGTCGTCTTTTACGACAAGCATGGGTTGCTGAATACTAACTCGAACCTTAATCTTCACGGCTTAATTGATCATGTATTTTATTAACATGATATTGTTTAATTGTCTGTATTAGATAACTGAGCTTGAATAACGGTTGATTAGGTTGGTGATCTAAAGTATTTAGGGGCCAATACTAGTAAAACCACACATAAGCTTCTGAGTACAATATCCATAACAAGCTGTTTTGTCAAGGGTCAATGAGGTCAGAATAAACAAGACTGACAACCAACCCACTACAGGGATTTACGTGATGCACAAATGTAGAGAATGGACGAAGTAGATCCAAAATACAGTGTCCGGAGAGATGCACAAAAATATGGAGTGTGTACCTACAGCGCATCAAGAGTTATACGTCGTTATTTCACCCATCACTCAAGACCACTGTCAGCGGGATCACTGATGTATTCCAGTCTCTGAAGCAATTATATGAACATACAGTACACTACACCATTTCAGTACTGTACAAGACCCTCATATCACCAGCAAAGACCCGTAAAATGTTTGGTGTGGGTCAAAAATGGATAGCTGTTACATATTAAACACGATCTTTTAATATGTTTTATAAGAAAGATACACACAATTTGTAATCTTTGAAGTAGAACAAGGTTAAACTAACAGTAATTATGGTCTGAGCACAACCAGTGTTTGCAATACTTTAATTTGCCAGTTGACCATCAGGGCCTGCTGCCCCTGCAGGCTTTAAAACCTACAGGCCCTGAATGAAATCTGCAGGCCCATTTTATTAAAAGTCAAACCAATAAAAACAAAATAGACTACACTGTACACAGCTTCACACTGTTTCTACAAAATGAATTAGCGAAGCCTATGGCACAGAGATAAAGTTTTATTTGTCATCAAAGACTGGTGTTGACATTTCCATGCACAAAGCGCTGAAATACCAGGAAGTGAAACTGTAAGTTATCGTAACATGGTGGATCATGGATGATTCCCGAACGTTAATAAGGCCTAAAAATGTTGTGGTTCCGATTACCCGACCGACCGTCCCTTGAATTCTGGTGTCAACCCTAATTTTTTTAAGCGGTATAAATGAAATAAGCTTTGAGATACCATTGTTTTTTCCCAGCACCGACGGACATCGGTCATTCTGATTTGACATGATGGCCGAAACCTTGATTGAATAAACAATCATACATTGATAAATGTGTTATTTGTTTTTACTTTACTTCTAAAAAAAAATTTTTTTTTAAATATCCTACCTACCCTTAAAGTTTAAAGAGGTGTAATCAGAACCACAACATTATTTTATTTTGGCCTAAAGAAAGCCCTCAAGGGGATGCAAATATTTGAAACTGCCAGCCTGACACAATAACAACCGGCACTGGGCCTCCGGTTTATTTTGAACGCTGAGCACAACAAATATACGCATCAATATGAATTATTGAGAATATTGATCTGTGTCAGTCATTAATAAATCGGAGCACACAGATTATTAAAGCAGGAACTTAAACCTATTTCACTGATACCACCATTCCTTATTATTAAGAGGTAACATTAAAGGGGAGATAATATAGGTGTTATTTCCCCTTGCAAAGGAACTGCTCTTTTGAAATAGTTTCCAGACACTGACTCTCACTGAAAAGTGAATGAGTTAATTGGGTTTAACACAGCTCTTAACAGCATACCATTTTATATCAGTTTGTCAGCTTAATGTGAGAGGAAAGACTTAAGTGGTGCCACTTTGCTGAAACCATGAGCACGATTATGGCGATGACAACCTAGAAACATAATCAGACCAAACTGGGATTTGAATCAGCAACCACTGATTCAGAAAGAATTTCGTCCGTATCCCCCCTTAAATTTCATTGTAGTCAAATCATATCACCTGAATATATATTCCTCATCTGATAACAATGAGTTTTAACATGTTTCTTTAATTGTATCTGAACATACTGAAAGACATATCCAACTTCTACAAGTGCCACTGAAAGAAATTGTTCCTCATCATTAAAATTTAGGAGGGGGGGTACGGGCGGAAGTCTTACCCTGATTTCTAGTATGCTCAATGGAAGGATCTATGCATGGGGAATCGCAATGACTTAGATAGCGGGACTTGAGCCCTCTTCCATGACAAGCGGGTCATACAGACCCTGACATCAGTATTATTATATAGACACTGTATTGTATGAAAAAGGATAAACCAACACCACTGCTTAACCGTGTCAAAACAAAACCTGTAATTTACATCACCAGCCTATTAATGATTCTGGCGGTGAGATTGCCTCATATTTAAAGCCTTCGCTCGTCACTCTGAAGACATGGGTTCGTCTCCAGATGGGTACAATGTGTGAAGTCCATTTCTGGTGTTCCCCTGGCATTTACAGATCAGCTCAAAACAAGTAACTGTTGCTATACAGCATTTGTAGTTAAGAAGGAGAATAATCCTGGGATCCAGAGGTTTGGTGATGCATTTGAATCTAGGAAAATCAGAAAACTTTTCACATAAAAGTTCATGACAAAAACTCAAATTTTGTATCGATATTTTGGAACACATTGTTATTTATGTCGATTCTGCTTTCTGTTTAACTATGATCACTTATCATTGCTTAACAACATCTGGTTATTACATGGCACATATAATATAGCTATCTCCTGCTGATGTCAATACAAATCAAGCAGCCCAACTAGATTCTGTCTCCTGAGGAAACTATCTTACATTTCTTCTGACACACCGGAATGATTTTACAGATCATGCTGAATGCAAAGCCACAGGTCACTGAATTTCTATCAATAGCCAAGGACATTAACTTAATGTATTTTGACATGTAAAACTATCTGAACCATAGGCCAGCCTGATTTTCATACACTTCTGTTATTTGATTTTGGACAATATCAAAATATTTTCCAAAATTTGCAAGCCAAAAGGCATTTAATTTTGAATCTTAACAAAAATCCCTCCGAAATCTGAAAATTGTGAAATTAAATTTATTATATTATATAGACTTAGGCCAAATTAAAAAATATGTTGTGGTTCCGATTACACCTCTTTAAAACTTAGGGTAGGTTGGTAGGAACTCTTTTTTTTTACATACTTTTTTACAAGGAAAGTACAAACTAATAACACATGTATCATTACTATCAATATGTATTTGTTTATTCAATCAAGCTTATGGACATCATATAGACTTTCTCTATCAGCATGACCGATATCTGTCGGCACCGGCAAAACACAATGGTATCTGAAAGCTTATTTATTCAGTCCGCTTAAAAAAAAAGGGTCGGCACCAAAATTCAAGGGTCGGTCGGGTAATCGGAACCACAACATTTGTTTTTAGGCCTTATGGGACCCTTGTCCAACCAGGTTTTATGTGGTGCAAAGGCTTGAGACCTGCATGGCTAAAGAGGCAGTCAAACCCACTTGACACATACATGAAAAGGAAAATGTTAAATGTTGAACACGCCCACTGCCCTCCGTTCCGAATTTAATTTAGTATAGCTGAATCTACATCTGTTCAGTGGCAACATTCAGCTTCGAGACTTCTGCAAATGCCAGTAAAACTCCCAAAATTGGAAAGCACAGTTCCCAGTTCATGTTACTTTGTGTATAGGAAATGTTACTTGGTGTTTACAGTAAAATACAGATTTCCAAGCAACATTAATAATAATATACACAGTTACATGAACTGGCAAACATGCATTCCAATTTGGGGGATTTGTTTGGAACAATGTTTATACTTCATTTTGAATAATTGCATTCTGGATTACAATTTGGTCTTCCGCAAGCCATGCTTGTCGTAAGAGGCAACTAATGGGATCAGGTAGTCAGGCCCGCTGTCTTGGTTGACACATATCATTGTATCCCAACTGCGTATCAATGCATTGATCACTGGATTGTCTGGTCCAGACTTGGTCATTTACCGCCACCATTTAGCTGGAATATTGTGGAGTGTGACGTTAAACAACAAACATTATTGCATTGAATGCAATATTAAAAACCTATGAATTTAAGATAAAATAATCCAGAAAATATCCCAATTATCACTATTAGGCTGCCAAGGGCACTTGATTCAGCATCCTAGATAAAACTCTGATTGGCCATTGACTAATGACTTAATAACCAATATTTTATGTCACATCATGAAAACAATATGCTTTCTCTAGCTATTTTATTACTTTTTCTTGATGTTTTGAATAAATGTACCAGTCAGCTGTTGAACCTCTCTCTACTGGTGGATCAGCTGAAAGTTGCACCCATCCTTATTGTCTACAGACAATAACTTGCAATAGCTATCACATAACATTACAACTATGCCTAGCTAAACTGTATTTATGTAAATGATCAGGTAGTGGCCGAAATCTATCGGTAATGAGTCTAGCCCCGACAAACCAGTGGTCGACATACGAACAACATCCCAAGTGACAACAGGTAAACTGACATTCAGTCAACAAAACCACTAAACTTGCAAGTCAGTCCACAATTAAGTAGAATCTAGGTGTTGTATTTGTGAATGCTACTGATGAAAGGCTGATAGCTACACATTTTAAGCATTTGCCTTAAAGTTTAAATTCTGGGAAATAAAATTAATCTGAATATCTGTTTCAAACTAATATATGAATATCTACATCAGCACATGGTTTTATCTAATCTTGCGGGAATATGCAAACACGGGATATCCAAACACTATTTCCAGGTACGATTATTCCATAAAATGGGGAGTTTCCTTTTGATCACTCAAGGTTGCAATATAACTTCCGCTGGAATATTTCACTAAAATATAATCTCCCATCACTACATTTATATATTACCAAAACAATCAAAATATTACACCAGTAAAACATAATAATTCAAACGAATTTTTTTGAAAATTAACATTTAACTTGAATATTTTGACTTTATGATAATCATATTCAATATTACAAATTCTTGTTGAATACTGCGGTGCCGCGAAAAATACTAACACTCAACAGCCTACATAAGATTCATAAATTAATATTAAACCGCAACAAAGATGGACATAAACATGTGGTCATCGCAGAATGTTAAAATTAATCTGATAATCTGTTTCAAAATAATATGAATATGTTACTTCAGCACATGTTCAATGTTAGCGACCTGAATGAGTCTCGTCTGGGTGTTCACTTCCTTCTCGAACAGAAAAACAATGCCCTTATTCACTTACAGACAGATTCATTACTTCTAGCTCCTAACAAAACTATGCTTCCATGTCCAATCTGTGTATTCTATTTCATTTACATGTAATATATGTTCAACTAATCATATAAACTACACACCAAGTCGCGTTATTGTAGGGGCCGACGGAAGACATTTCTCAGCATGGCTCGATTATCCGCCTTGCAGGGAAAACGCGCGCGCCGCGAAGCTTTGCTGTGTTCATAGCTACCGCTGAATATGTGTTATATTACCCCAATCATATAGATTGTGACTTTATAGAGCCTATTCATACACTTATTTCCAACATTTGGACGGATATATGTGCATACTCACTTTTCAAGTCAGTGATATGAGTGTGTAGGTGATTTTACAGCTCCGTACACCGATCCGCCATTCGGTTCAGGAATCAACCATGATACTCTCCCGCATTACGACAATCTATCATGGCGGCCAACTGGTCACGTGGTACAGTTCGCCCCACTAACTACGTCATACCCGGCATGCATAATATGGTGTTTCGACCAATCACGGTTCTTCTGTACCACCACGCAGACGCACACGTTTTGTTACCAAAAATAGCCTACAGTCGGGCAAAGTAAGATGGCCGCCACAACCCGGCCGTCCTCATTTACATATTTGTGACGTCACAAACCCGAACCTATCAGCGTCAAACGTGTGGGTGAAGGCCAAAATGGCCGCCGTAGCCGTTTTCACGTGCCGCACATGCCTAAAAACGCCCTGTACACCGCAGTAGGGCGTATCTAAATGGTTTGACGTCAGACTGAAAGACGTAAACCAAAAACACACGTCAACCTGTGATGTCTCGAGTATTCGTTCAGCAATGTATGGGAACGTTGCAGAAAAGTATCCACATTAAACGACGTCAAAACAAATGGACGTCAGATTATGCCTGCTGAGAGACTAAATGACGTTAATTACGGTACGAATTGAACGCAAACGTCTTCTCGACAGAGATACGGCTTTGGGGCTCATAGTGGTTTCTTATGCAGTCTTATTTAATTGTTCAGTGCATATAATTAGCTTTAATATTCTTGGTGTCAAAAATTACACATTCAAATAGTCCCGCCAAAGAACTATAGGCCTCAACACTGCTGATGAAGTCTACAGACAAACCACAAAGAATACACAACAAAAGCGGATTGTTCAAACATCCGTGAGGCTTCCTAACGCTATCTGCATTGCCACCCTATTGCAAACGTACGATGAAAGTGTCATCGCAAACAATAGCTATAGGGTCAAATTCACGTTCGAAGAATTCTCTTTAAGATGAACTCTCTTTGGCTTTGAATATCTGGACTATGTGACTCGATTGTGCGATGCCTTGGCGAAGTAGACATAACTACAGTTTCTGCAATTAGGTGGGGGCGGAGTGACCAATGCCTACAGCATGCCTACGACAACAATTTAGACAGCAACTCCCTCATGGTCATGACGGGCGGTGGGGTAGCCTAGTGGTTAAAGCGTTGGCTCGTCACGCCGAAGGCCCGGGTTCGATTCCCCACATGGGCACAATGTGTTAAGCCCATTTCTGGTGTCCCCCGCCGTGATATTGCTGGAATATTGCTAAAAGCGGCGTAAAACTAAACTCAGTCAGTCAGTCAGACATGGTCATGACCATCTCTACATTCACTACCTTTATGAAACGTCTGTCCGTGGGATTACCGGGCTTAGAACAGGCCCCTGTCAACCTATGCTGTTTGTAAGAGGCGACCAAACGGATCAGATGGTCTGTCTCCATGTTAATGTCGATTGCCTGTAGTTGTAACCTAAGCGTGAATCGTTGCTTGCATTGTACGCGTGGTCCTGGCCGTCATATCTTAACTCGAGTACAACGGAATCCGACTTTAAAGAACAAACAAACGAGTTAGGTTTTACAATATTCCAGCAATATCACGGCGGGGGACACCAGAAATGGGCTTCATTGTACCCATGTGGAGAATCGAACCCATGTCTTCGGCGTGACGAGCGAATGCTTTACAAACAAACGAAACATACATGGTTAAGTATGCAGGGGGTATAGTTAGCAATGGTCATGGGTATATAGGCACCTAAACATATTGCGACGAAAACCTCTCCATATCTTAAAAACTCTTCCCTAAAATAGCCTATCAAACGATTCCGACTAATGACTCACTATCAACCGTCGATGACACCAGGATTTCCTTAAAAAGTTGAGTGTATCTGTCCACCCTTGGTATCTGTCACAAATACACGCAAAGTCCAGTCGGTAACAATCGCGATTATCTTAATATGCATACACGCTTACTGTGACAGTTATCATTTGAGGCATGCGACGCAGTTGGAACCGTTATTCAAACCCGACAGAATGGCACCGCACCTCACGGAGCAGCATGATGTATATTGGAACAGGGTTGGAGTTTGATAGCCATGCAACTGTTAGATCATAAAACTCAACTTTCCTCATTATCAGTGGTATATGAAGTAATAGTCCGTCTCCCAGCCCCTGAATAGTCCGTCTCACAGCCCCTGAACACCATTATTTCCCCCACTGCCTTGCCCTTTCTGCAATGCTAAATCCCTAAATGAAGAAAGTGCAAATTTCCCCAGGTTCTGAATCTCCCTTCTTACTGGGACTCCTTTTCAATTTAAATGATATATATCCAGAGACTAAGCGTTACTCCAACGGAGTACCTATACTACACTCATCATATTTTCATTCAAATACTGTTAGGATCTGTAATTAAATACATCCAGGGTTCCGTAAGGTAAGGTTTAGCCTTCACTGACACTAGTTGTAAGTACCATGGTGAGGGAGAGTGTTTTTGTGTGTTCTTTTGCTTGGGGCTGGGGGCTGGGAAGAGGGGCGGAGGAACTTAAGGAATTCAGTTATATATTCATCATCGAACTTTTGAAATGGCCCCTTAGCATGACAATGTTTAAGAGGCTGTATATTTCCTCCCACAGCATAAGTCTTCATCGTTACTGCACTGAGTCAAATCGTCTCTTAAAATATATGCAATTTTTATAGAAACAAACATTTATATTGTAAAAGAGCCTGGTTCTGTGGAAAATCAATAGACCTGCGTCATTTAGGGTTAGATCATTACAGTAAGGGCTGGCTTGAAGTGGAAATAATACAGTTCTGTAACACCGAGACAGACTACAGCACTGTATGAACGGAGAAGACGCTGTTCAAGCAGTTACACGTGCATGGTTGTCAGCCTCTTGTAATACCGATGTGATCATTATCGTTCAGAGATTCTATAACTGAACACCATATTGAGTGAATCAACACCTGCATCAAAACAATAGTCCCGTGTCAACATACAAATATCTGACATTATCATATTCAACCTTCAGTTATACCTTGGGTCGGGATAGATAAACGTGTTTCACAGCGTGTAGAAGAAAGAAAAGAAAATTATTGTATTACAGTGTTAAAATATTTGCAAATATAAAAGCGTGGTTAAAGTAACATCCGTTTATAGGCCTAAGAGACAATTTGTACATTAAAATCAATATATAATTGAAGTAAAAGTAAGTAATAATATAATTCAATGCTCACAAATTCAACAGACACACACAGACATACATCCTCACACATGCACAGTCACCATGTATCCACGTACACGCATATCCACACAAGGACAACACACACACACACACCACACACACACTTCACCACCACCACCCCTTCCAACCCACTCACACATGCACAGCCACCATGTATCCAAGTACACGCATATCCACACAAGGATCCACCCCACCCCTTCCAACCCACTCACACATGCAAGCATAGGCCCAGACCTTCCATCCTTACACTCACACAGCCCCTCTTCACAAACTAGCAAATACACATCAGTACTTGCATACATACGCATACAATATTAACCTCAGATTACATACCCATACAAACATGCAAACACACACGTATATAACCAAGACATGTAACATATATCACAAGAAAATATACATGTATATCCAACACGCTTACTGCAAGACGTTACAATACGCCACAGAAAAAGGACATCTATTCCTTCTGACAGGTAACGTGTATGTTCAGTTTCGGCAAGGTCCACAATCAGTGATTATCACTGATGCAAACACTGACTGCTCAGCTTTATCTGTTAAGTTTAATCAGATGGTATCCGTATCGTTATTTATTAGCATTGATTATGATTATGAACATGTTAGTGGCAATGACCATTAGCCGTTAGCCATATGGTCATGAAATAGGTGCATGCCGTAACCCTCATAGGCGGATCCAGGGTGGGTGGGGGGTGCAGGGGTGCGCACCCCCCTTTTAGTCCTGAAAGTTTATTAAATGACCATTGAAACTGGTGAAAATGAAGTGCACAAACCCAACCCCCAACCAACACCCCTTCTGTCTCAAAAAGCTGTATCCGCCCCTGACCCTAATAGCGAATTGCCAAGGCTGTTGTGTACTCACTCATACAGTGGAGTACATTCCTGTGTTAAGTGGAATACATCTACCCAGTCTAGAACTGGGTACATGCGTATGCGCATTGTCCGTTTTTTATTCATGTTGTTTGAGTCTACAGAGAGCGACGGGATTTGCATGAGTTATGTGGCAAGTCATATACCTTCGTGTCCGACATTGAGACATGTGATGACCGAACATCACAGATTGCCGTCTAAAAGTTAAATTCCGCGTATGACAAAATAGAAACCACTTAATCGCCCTCAGCGTGAAAGTAGGTCATGCCGGTGTATGGAATGAAAATGTGTGTGTGGTCGACCAGACTAAAATATATCCATGCATGTACGCAATGCTTTGTTTAATCCGCTTTCGCAGCCCTAACCTTGTTTGACAAATAAACTACAAAAATGCTGTGTATATATATAATGATCACGAAAAACATGAAATAATCGATATTTTTATCGTCTTCATTTCCCTGATGGTGGATTTGCTACAGAGTCCAGATTCAGCCTCAAACTGGACGGCTTTCCTTAACCAGATTGCAGCTTGTACACAATGGTTGAAGTTCATATGCTGGGTTTTATTATTAAGGAGCCAAACACAGTAGCTTGAGCTGTATTACAGCTTAGAATTTCAAGTTAGTGCACATGTAATAAATTTGACTTGTTTCTGAACATTTTCTCAGCTCGGCGAGACCCGGATGTGAAGTATGCGGTCAAACGGTGCACCACACTCCTGTCGATGAAACGTCCGCGTCTAACACTTAATGGAAAACGTGCCTTTCAATATATGTAAAGATCGATGAGTCACCACCCCTTTGCATTCACTGTTATATTTAAACAGTTATATGCGGGTGTGGTCTTTCATGTTAAAAAGTAGACAGCGCCTACAGGAAACAACTGTGGTATTCAGCCAATCACTATAATGACCATCTGTACGGCGTTACATGCATATGTTATATAACGTATGGCATGCATATATTACAATACATAACATGAAGCGTGCCTATTTTACATTTGTCTCACATATCTTTTGAATTAAAACAAATATATGAGTGAATATGGTTTTACGCCGCTTTTAGCAACATTCCAGCAATTTTCTAGCGGG